TTTTTTTTTTACTTTTTATGCCTTACTATAATATGACGTTTTTATTAGTTTATATGCTTTACTATACTATGATTTTTTTTTTACTTTTTATGCTTTAATAAAAAAATTTCAGTTTTATGATTTTTTATGTCTTAATATAAAAATGTAGTTTTTATGATGTTTTTATGATGTTTTTATGCCTAACTATACTATGATGATTTTATGACTTTAAACCTTGCATAAAAATGTCATAGTAAAGCAAGACATAAAAATTCATAAAAATGTCATAGTATAGTAAGGCATAAAAATGCATGAAAACATCATATTTCCTTTTAGATAAATCTATGTACAGTAACAGATCAAACAGCAATGATCCTATGATATAATCATTTACATATTAACATCAGAATAGGTGGACTGTGATTATGTTTAATGCAAGTTAGTCATTTACAATTAATCCATAATTGCATAAAACCAATAATCAGTTGACATGTTACTGGTGGCGTCAGGTACCACCGTCATATTCTCACATGACGCGAGCCTTCAGACAGCCCCCTCCCTTTCAGCCGTCAAATTCTTGCATGCCTAACTTGGTCATCCTGTAGATGAAGCCTCCAAATGATCTGATATGACTTTACTCAAAAATATTGCGAACGATTTCACTCTTATATTTGTAGGGACATATCCCTACCGTTCATATGCAAACCTTCTCCCTTGGTTTGAATTATTGTTTTGTTGACTTCTTAATGTTATAGTTTTCATGTGTCAGAGTGTCTGTCATGGCCGACAGGGTGGAGACGGTTGCGACAAGTTATTGTAACTGTCCTGAAGTTGAGCAGCCAAATCAACACAGACCATCTTATTTTGTCCCATAGCAACAACAGATGCAACGGTAATTTCTCATTTTAAAACATAAGAGAATGAAAAAATGTAAAATGTAAAAATGTGAATTATGTTCTCAGCCTCTCGGTCTTATAATATATCTGCCTGTTCTGTGTCAGAACCTGTTCCACATCAGAAACTCGAAGCCAACTGAGGACATAACAAACCTTTGGTTTCATTTTGTGTCCTAGTTTGATTTTTTATGGTTTTGGGCTCACTGCCATTTTTCCTCTTTATTCAGAATACTGCATCTTATCAGAGCAGATGGAGCGGAGTTGGGAGTGTCGACTATCTCTATCTCATCCTTTATCTTTACTCAATCCTTCTTCATACTTCAGCTGAGCGCAGGCTGTCACAGCACAAAGAAAGGAATCATGAAAATTCAAAAAATTAAATTAAAAATTAAATTAGAGTAGACGTGGTTCACAGAAGAGTGGGGGAAAAAAACATGCAAACCTAACTTTCTTCTGATTCCCATAATAACATTAATATAAAAAAAATACTGCACAAATATGAATCATGGTAAGTTTCCTCACACAAATGATTAGTATTTTATATGATTCTGGATAAACAGGGACATAAGTGTCGGAGGTGTACAACTGCAAGGCGGTAACTCTAACTCTAACTAAATAGTTTTCTTTGATTTTCTTCTCCTTTCTGCATTGAGGTGATGGGACAGTAAAATGAAAATGTTTTTTGAGATTCAAGTAAAATATCAACCTGAAACTATAAAAGTGATAAAAGAGACAAAAACTGGATTTTAGAAATGACACCCTTGACCAGCGTCCAGAGGAATGTAGTTCCTCAAGGCTCAATTCTGGAGCCTCTTTTATTCAGTGCGTGTTTCCATTCGGCCAAATCACGTAAAACTGTGAAATCAATAGATGATAATCAATAATCATGCAGATGACACCCACATTTACAGACAGTATAAAGAGGAAAAGACGAAAAAAAACTTTGTGATTTTAATGAAAGTTTTCATACAATTTTAAATTGACCTCAAGTTCAAAGATAGAGCTCTGCCCACATCCGTCACACACACACACACACACACACACACTGCTGATAGTCTCTATCAGTGTTGAGATAGGACTGTTGTTGGAGGCAAAATGGACCCAGAAGGACAAAGGTCTGAGTTAGGAGACATGACCACACACACACACACACGCACGCACGCATGCACACGCACACACACACACGCACACACACACGCACACGCACACACACACGCACACATACACGCACGCACGCACGCACACACACAGAAGATAGCAGGATCCTGTGCTCTGTTTGCCCAGTGTTCCTCTTCGCCCTTTGGACACCACACCTCAACTGCTGCATCAATTAGCAAATATGTGTGTGTGTGTGTGTGTGTGTGTGTGTGTGTGTGTGTGTGTGTGTGTGTGTGTGTGTGTGTGAGTGTGTGTAGGTGTCTTGTCTTTCACTCTTTCTTTTCATTCCCTCTCTCTGGTCACTTCTCTCTCTGTAGTTTCCTCTCTGACTCTTTACGTTGGTTTTGTATCTGAAGAAACTCGAGTCACTTTTACCTAAAAGTCGTGACAGTAAACTGACGAGTTCAAACAAACAGAAGCACGAGTCGTGCACAATTCAGTGACGTCAGATGAATGTAAAGGCTGCAGCAGCAGAAGAGCTGCAACAATTAGTCAATTAATTAGTTGATTGGATGTTTTGGTAATTAATGAATCATTTTTTAATCATTTTTCAAGCAAAAAAAATGTTTGGAAACTGAATGTTTGTTGAAGAAAACAGTCAATTTGAAAACATCTTTGATTTTTTACAGCAAGAACTTTTCAATCTGCAAATTAATCAATAATAAAAATATATATAAAGTTCTGGTTTCAAACAGAAACGTCAGATCTGCATAGTGTTCTTTACATGGATCAGTTAATGAGCTCTTCTTCTTCTTCTGTGCTTTAATGTCAGCGACTGGAGAACCAGTTGACTCATATTCACAGCAGCAGAGGAAACAAATGTTTATTTTATTAATTTTACTGATTCCCTGGAAGTTTGTTTTTTGATGGAAACTCGAGGAGAGTGAAAAGATGAGCAGACATCTTTACAATAAGACATTTGTTTTTAATACAAGTTACACTTGAAAATGTACACATGATGAAGTCCGATGGTTAAAATCATGAACATTTACAAGACATTTATTAAACTGAATGTTGAGCAGGAAGAAAAACAAACCAGCCTGAGTCTGTTTGGTTTAACCTGCTGTAGACTCTCATCATCAACAACGTTCTCCGGTCACTGTGACACAGGAAACAGTTTATTGTCTTGACTAATTTTACAGTCGGTCCGAACGTCTGTCAGCTCGTTTGATAGTTAGGTGTCACGATTAAGGCCGGATTGCCCCTCCTCCACACCCACTCCAGCACCGCCGCCGCCGCCGCCCAGCCTTAGGCTACGGTGCCAACAGCTAAAACGGGCCAAGCAGCGTTTCCAAAAGTCTCTGTTTTAGGCATTTTAGGCAAAAACTCTGGATTAGTGTGGAATTGTAAATGAAGCAAAACTGATTTAAAAATGTATGAGTGTGGTTGTAGCCTTAGATCTATTACCAGCTCGGTCAGTTTCAAACAAGCTCTTAGCCATTATCTTTGTAGAGACACAGCTGGAGTCTCTAACAACCATTTCCAGGTCCAGGTCCAGAATCATTGGACGGGCCTCATCTGTGTTTGACTCTGAATCCGATTTGAATGATCAGTTTTTGGTGTTGAAGCTGCAAATTTCACAAATAAATGTGTGAGTCCCTCTTGTGCATTCGTGGCAGTTACTGCGTCTGTTTTGATTAATGAAACGTCCAAATGAGAGAGAGGGGATGTTGTAAATTTGGTTGACCAGATAAAATCACATCATCTGAAAACAAAATCACTCAGACGGACCAGAAAGAAAGAAACATGGAGCTGACAACCTTCAGATGACGCCAGTCTCTCTGTTTTTATAGAGCTTTGAATTGGGAAGAAGTTTTTCAGGTGCCCCTGATTGTGGAGGTAAAATACTGTTCATTTTTCCCACAGTCAAAGTTCAGTTCTTTGATAAAACGTTGAAGGTTCAAGCTGTGGGCGGAAAACACTAAAGAAGAGAAGTCAACTTTAACTCCCAAGGTGCATTTCAGCAAGAAACAGCCTATCCAAGAGCTTTAAATTCTGTCTCCGCCAATGGTGGGTGGACGCCAAACATTCAAATCAATTCACTTTGGGGTCAAGGATTAATTGTGGATGATTCCAGTGGCCGAGGCTCATGGGTATTGTAGTATTAAGACCTGTCCACCAAACTGAAGAAGCTGACATAATTAAAACTGATGGTCACAACATGAAGGGGAGTTTCTATCTTCAGTAACAAAATGATAAAAAACAGTTTGGGAACCAGCTGCTGTTTCCACCTCACATCTGGACTACATCACATCTGTATATAGAGTCTGTGGTTCAGTTGTTCCGGATCAAATCATACACACAAGCAGGTGACGTTTTAACTTGAAATAAAAGGATTTCATTGGCGTCTATGGGTGGAGAAAACATTTGTTAATGAAGCGGGATGATATATAATCATCATTAAGCTCAAATCAAACCTCTGGAAACTGGATTTACACTTTTTAAGTAGCTTTAGAGTTAAAAAAAAACAAAAAACACACTGTCTGACAGCATCATATATATTCTATATCTGATTGTTGCAGCTCTAAATGATGTGAAATATTAAAACCTGAGACTCCATGTTTCTGCGGCTGCTTCCTTCCATTGCATGGAAATATTTCACATGTCACATGCTTCATTTTATTCAGCCTGAAATGTTTAGTATCGTTGGAAACTTCGCTGCTAGAATTTCAAATAAAGTTATTTGAATTTGAAGAAAGTTTGGAGAAACAGGAAGAGTTTGCAGGAATGGAGGACAGGACAAAATATTTGGTAAAAGTCCTTCACCTCGTCCCAACATCTGGATTATGAGGAAGAATCTGCAACAAGAGTCTGATGGAGAGGAAGTACTTCTGCTGGCAACACCAAAATTCAGTGAGCTTCATCTTTAAGATGGCGACCAGAGAGGGAGGGAGGTTCAGTCTGAAGGGGAGAGTCTTTAGTTCTGATCCCCGTCCTCAGCATCCAATAAAAACACCCTCCTCCTCCTCAGTACTCCTCTTTGATGTTTAAAGGCAGGGACGTAGGGGACACCAGCCCGTTGCTGCCGCTGCTGCTCGTCACCATGGCCACGCTGCTGCCGCCGTTTCCATGTAAAACTCCTCCTCCACTGCCGTTGCTGCCGGTGGGAGGGGTGGGCGTGGTCGTGGAGGAGGCCGGCTGCTGGAGCTTCTTCTTGTTGATCTTGCGCTCCTTTGCCCGGCGGTTCTGGAACCAGATCTTCACCTGGGCGAGGAGAACATGTCGGATTTATGTCAGGAAAATATAAATAACGTTCACTACATAGTAAATCTCCATATTTATCAATGGAAATGGACTCGTAAGGAGGTGGTTAGGGTGGATGGTGGGTCTACAAAGCCCAGGACTGTGACAGCAGAGACCAGGTTCACACCCAGAGACCTGTCTGTGGTTTAGACAACAGCAGCTCTTTGGTTAAACGTCCATATTTAGAGTGTTGATCCATCAGAAGATCATCTCAGTGTAGTTTTACATCTCCTCTCTCAGGCTTCTCTCTGGAGCTCTAGTAACAACAGATTTCAGGTAAAAACACTCAGAGAAACCAAATCCTGCAAGGTCTGGATGGTGGGTGCAAGTGGGCTGGGCTTGGTGACTGCTTTGTTGTGACATCACAAAGTTCCAGAAGTCCTGACGGCTGGTTTTAAGGCTCAGTTTCTGAATACAGGCTGTGTGCATTTCTCTGTGGACTGAGGCTTTGATACTTTCACAGTATTAATATAGAAGCTAGAGCTGATCTATAATCACACTACACATGGACACAGACCTTTACACTGGAGGAGCTTTAATATTAGTGAAAGACGGTGGTTCAGTTTAAATGGAAATGAACAGGTTGTGAACTTTTTCTACATTAAACCAGACCAGGATCTTTAACCTGAACCAGGATCTGGGAGGTTCTGAACAGAACCATAAACCAGTTTAATAAAGCTGGAGATTGATCTGTAAGATCAATATTTTACTGATACCTTTAGTATCAACATGTTTGTGACCTGTCTGATATGTATATTAAAAACATTTCCTCTTTAAGTCAACAGAAAACAGTTATGTTTCCTTCAGTAGTTTCTAGAGACAGGGTTGACTGTACATCCATACGTTATATTATTGTATAGATTCAGATTCAGTGTATAAAAGGAGCTAGTTACCAACTCTATGAGGCACTTAGCTGAAAATCAACAGCCCTGATCAATAACAACGTTTCATTCCAGTGTCTGTGTGTTGGCGTACCTGTCTCTCTGACAGGGTGAGCGCCGTGGCGAGCTCCGCCTTCCTCCTGATGGTGATGTATTTGCTGTAGTGAAACTCTTTCTCCAGCTCCAGCCGTTGGTGGTCGGTGTAAACCACCCGATACTTGTCTTTGGTTCGTGTCTTCCCGTCTGTAAAACACAGAAACATCACCAGGTCACACTTCCAGCTGAAATCTGATCGACTTAAATGTTCAGTGTAAAATTAAAGGGGGATTCCACTGATTTTACGCAACAAAACAAAACACAGTCCCACTTTAAGTACCATGGACAGCGCCACTCGGCTGGGCTGGGCCAAAGCTTATTTATAAACAATAAACATATGTTTTGGACCATTTAATAGAAAATAATGTCAAAATGCAAAAGAGAAAAAGTATGAAATTATTTAATTACAGCCCATTAATACCACATGTTAACCAGTAGACATTCCCAAGCTGCTGCTCTGCTGCTAAATTCATTATTTTATCATTTAAACATCAAGATAAATCCATGTTAATGAAACAGCTGCTCTGTGTGTTCAGCTTCAGTCACAGTGAGATTTCGAGGTTAATACAGGTCGTGGTTTTTACTTATAGTTTCATGGTTGGGGGGGGTTTGGAGATTCAAACACTTCATTTGCATTCTGGTGAATTTCTATTCACCAGTTTATAGTGGAAATGTTATTTTATTTACAGGGAAAAAGCTACAGTGACAATTCAAAATATACTGGCATATAAAGCAGCAAGGATCTCCGACTCAGATCTCAGTCCCACGCTGTCAACAAATCACATGCAGCTGTTCTTTGCTGTGCAGCTAATGCTAGATTAGCTTGTCTGCTGCTATTTTAGCTAGCTAGCAAGCTTCTATGGGCAGGCAACATTATTTTAAGATTAGTTAGCAAACAAGCAAACAATATTTCTAACAGTGAACTCGAAAAACACGTGTATGTGTATGTGTGTGCATGTGTGTGTGTGTGTGTGTGGTTTTATGAGCTAATATAATTCATATACATGCAACTTTAGCCTTATGTTACAGTTTAGCTAACTAATGTTAGTTTCCAACTTTAGCCTTAAGTTACAGTTTAGCTAACAAATTTTAACTAGTTTCTAACTTTAGCCCTAAGTTACAGTTTAGCTAACTAATGTATGCTAGTTTTTAGCGCTCCCTTTCATTTCCAGTGTTAGCTTGTCATTTCATTACCAAAATAAAATGTCATGTATGATCTGATGTTACAAACTCTGGAGCTCAGTCATGAGCAGTGAGACGATGGAGGATTAGTTGTTGTAGAGAAACGTTTTCACATCAATATAGAGTTTATTATTTCATGTGGTGGTTCAGTCTTTTACCTTTAACATTAGTTTTTATAATAGTCACCCTCTTTGTTTTCACTCAGGGATTCAGGAGTTTTACCTGTTGGCTCATTGAACAATATTAAAGTACATGTGAGAAACACCTCAGGTCACTGAAGCACCTGCTCTGTTCTGGGTTTCCTTTCACTCCGGAGAAATAGCTGACTCCCATGATTGTCATTTTATAATTCACACTCTGCTGCCAATTAAATTAATTATAGCTGTGAATTCATCTTATATTAATGAAGTCACGTCTGAAATAACTGTTCACACTCCTCGTTTTCTTGGCCTCTATATATACAGCATTTATATTCTTGCATGTTTAATGACTCCACTTCATCTGCACCAAATCACACCGTCTGTTAGTGTAGAAAAAGCTGAATGAAGCGAATGGAGTGGTAGTATTTTATATTATGTGTTATAAACTGTCATCAGTCGCCTGTTCACACCGACACACCATGACGGCTCTATTCAAATACACAACCTGCCTCGGCTGCATTTGCATGAACTGAGCCCTATCTGCTTTTATTGATTTATGGCTCCAGTGTCCGTGTGTTACTGTTAAAAATCATCATCATTGGAAATGATGCCTGGTAAAACGGAATAAATGAGCTGTTCAAAGCTCTAAACTTTATTCGACACACAAGGGTGAAGCCTGCGGTTCAGACTCTCAGAGCTTTGTTTGAATATTAAATATATCAGGGGGAAATTTGGGGAAATTTGTAAAATATCATGCACAAACATCTGGAATATTTCCATTTCATAAGGAGGGAAAGTCACAGAAGATGGCAGATACTGAACTCTGAAGATATTTAGGTCCGAGGAAACGTGATACCACCGTATCTGTTAGATAAAGAGAAGATGTCAACGTACTGTATATGAAAAGTCTCAGAAATGTTGATATTTATGTTTGTCAGTAAAATGTTTTTCATTTGTTTTCTGCAGCTCAGGACATTTACATCAACCTGAGGTAATTGTACTTTACTTTCTTTTCTACTTTATATTTCTACTACAAAAACTTCTCAGAGGGAAATGTTGTCCTTTCTACTGCTGCACATTTATCTGACAGCTGTAGTTTGCATATCAAACAAATGAAGACCTGCTCTATTATAAATTAAACCAACAGTACAGTTTTTACAAGTACAGTTGAAATGATCAATAGATTAATCAATTGACCGAAAAATAATCAGTAAGTATCATTTTCAGGGTAAAAATGTCTAAAATTAAATGTTTGGTTTTTTTTTTGTTTGAGTCCTTTTACTTTTAATACATCAGTGATTTTCCCAATTATACGTACACACTTTTACTTAAAGCTCCTCCAGTGTAAAGGTCTGTGTCCATGTGTAGTGTGATTATAGATCAGGTCTAGCTTCTATATTAATACTGTGAAAGTATCAAAGCCTCAGTCCACAGAGAAATGCACACAGCCTGTATTCAGAAACTGAGCCTTAAAACCAGCCGTCAGGACTTCTGGAACTTTGTGATGTCACAACAAAGCAGTCACCAAGCCCCGCCCACCTGGACCCACCATCCAAACCTTGCAGGATTTGGTTTCTCTGAGTGTTTTACCTGAAATCTGCTTTATTTTTATTGGATCACTCAGAAAATCAGCCAATCAGAAGAGAGGCTCAGAGCCTCCTCTCTTCTGATTGGCTCACCGACCAGTTGTTACTAGAGCTCCAGAGAGAAGCCTGAGAGAGGAGATGTAAAACTACATCGAGATGGTTTTTGGTTCTTGAAAACACAAAAATATCTTCTAATGGATCAACACTTCAAAATAAAAGACCTTTAAATAACAGTTCCATGCTGGAGTAATTCAACACTGTGATATTAGTACTTTTACTTCAGTGAATAATCTGAATACTTCCTACAACACATTAATGTGTTGCTGAATAACACAGAGAATCAATAATAATATGTTTGTCTCAACAGTGTAACTGGGAAAAACAAATCAGTCGTATATTAAATTTAATTTCTAGGAGGAAGCAGCCACGAAAACTTAACTGGAAAAAAATAAAACATCACAAAAACACTAACTAAAAAAAATTTTAAAACTAAAATAATCCATCAGTGTAAGTGGAGACAGTGGGAGGCTGCAGTTTAAACACACAGATGGTTGTGTTGAAGTTAATTAAAAGGCCGTCAGCTCTGCTTAACACGCTCTGATTCAATATTAACACTAAACAAACAGAGGTTAAATAAGTGATGTCCTTCTCCTCTTCAAACACACACACACACACACACACACTCACACACACACACTCACTCACTCACACACACACACTCACTCACACACACACACTCACTCACTCACACACACTCACACACACACCGTCTGTGTGTCCTGTAATCGGTCACTGGGGCAAATTCAAACTCAAACATTTGAGTTTTGGGGGGAACATCTGTCTGAACTGACGAGTTTCTGCTTCATTTGTCCGAAAGTAAAAACCAACAGTTTGATGAGAGACGCTAATGAAGGAGTGTAAATCAAAAAGCTCTTCAGCCTGTCCCCAGAGAGAGAGAGAGAGAGAGGGAGAGAGAGACAGAGAGGGGGAGGGAGAGGGAGAGAGAGGGAGAGGGAGAGAGGGAGAGAGAGAGAGAGAGAGAGAGAGTAGGGGAGAGAGAGGGGGAGAGAGAAGAGACGAGAGAGAAGGAACAGAGAGAGAGACAGAGGAGAGATGAGAGGAGAGACAGAGCACAGACGAGAGAGGAACAGAGAGAGAGAGAGACAGAGAGTAGAGACAGAGGAGAGACGAGAGAGACAGGAGAGACAGGGAGAAGAGAAGACAGAGGAGGAGAGAGAGAGAGAAGAGAGAGACAGAGGACAGAACAGAGAGAGACGAGAGAGAGAGAGACAGAGGACAGAGACAGACAGAGAGAGAGACCAGAAGAAGAGACAGAGAAGAGAACAGAGGAGAGAGACAGACAGGAGAAAGACAGAGAGCAGAAAGCGTCAGAGAGCGACAGGCAGAAGAGCAAGACAGAGTAGGACGAGAGAGGGAAGAGAGATGAGAGACAGAAGAGAGACAGGAGAACAGAGGACAGAGAGATACACGAGAGAGAGACAGAGGAGAGAGACAGGAGAGAGATGACAGCCAGAGAGAGAGAGACAGAGACAGAGACGAGACAGCAGATGAAGAGAAGACAGAAGGAGAGAGACAGGAGAGAGAACAGATGAGAGCAGCACAGAGAAAAGAGACACAGGAGATCGAGAGAGAGAGAGAGACCAGAGACAGAGACAGAGGAGGTGAGAAGAGAGAGACAGAGGAGAGAAGAGAGAGAGAGAGACACGAGACATTGAGAGAGAGAAGACAGAGAGGAGAGAGAAACAGAGAGAGAGATCAGTGTTCAGAGAGAGACAGGAGGAGTAGACAGGGAAGGCAGAGACAGGAAAGGAGGAAGAGAGACAGAGAGAGACGAGAACGAGAGAGAGGACAGAGACAGAGACATGGAGAGAAAGAGAGAGAGAAGAGAAGAGACAGAGACAGGACAGACGAGAGAGACAGAGAGAGAGACAGAGAGAGACAGAGAGAGAGGACAGAGAGAGAGACAGAGAGAGAGAGGAGAGCGACCAGGGAGAGAGAGACAGAGAGAGAGAGAGAGAGAGAGAGAGAGAGAGAGACAGAGACAGAGACAGACAGAGAGAGACAGAGACAGAGAGAGAGACAGGGAGAGAGAGACAGAGAGAGAGAGAGAGAGACAGAGACAGAGACAGAGAGAGAGACAGACAGACAGAAAGAGAGACAGAGAGAGAGACAGAGAGAGAGACAGGGGGTGGGAGGACGCCGTGTATGAAGGTGTGTCTCTCCGTAGTCCGTTGTAAAGTCCGACCTGTAATGAGTCTCTGGTCTACGGAGAGTTTTCGCTTCAGCGTCTCCAGCTGTTCCCGCCCTTTCTGCTGCACAGCCCCTGAATTCGGACACAACTTCCGTCTGATTATTATAAACAGATGGAAATTATTGACAAAAATGACAATAAAATATATTTTAAATATATATAATATATAAGAGAAGCAGAAACCGGAGCGTCAACAACAGGAAGAACGAAAAGGAAAACCGTCTCCTGCTTCTGTTCAGTCCTGAATGTTCCATCGTTATCGTTAAAATAAAAAACTCAGAAACTTCATTAGGTCAGTTTTAGAGCTTTTCAGAGGGACGTGAGTTGAAGCGGTCGGGAACCTCCTCCAACCACATCTGTGTTTAACCGGGTCTGCAGCCAAATGTATCTGTCTGTTTTTATTTGGTCTATTTGACATTTGTGTTTTGTGACTTGTGATGTTGGTTTCTTGTTTCCTGCTGTAAATGAGCATTTCTGCTACAGTCCACTTTGTTCACATCGTGTATTTTGTACTGATGTTCATTGACATGTATTGTCCCCATCAAATAAACAAATAGACAAATAAATAAATAAATAAATAAACATTATAAACGTCGGAACTGATCAAGCCTGATTTCTCAGACTCGTTTGTTCTTCATCAAATCGCTTGTTTCTGTTTGTGAAGTAATTAATTAACAGACAGAAAAACCTGCGTCAGAACTGTGAGGCTGCAGCTCTCATTATCAATACCTTATCAATCCTTTATCAATCCATCGATGGACGAGGCTGTTAATCTATGTTTTGTGTTTTTATGTATTTTTATTATATATTATTATTATTGTCGTTGTTTTAGTCACAGTAGAAAACGCATTGATTAACTGATTGATGAGCCGGTGTCAGTTTCAACTAATTAAACAAACTTTTTAACTATATAATAAATATATATAATTCGTATTAAACATATTCAGACTGTTGTAAAAGGAAGAAGTAAAAAGTACATTAGAGAAACCCTGAATAAAGACACTGACATGCAGAGTGGGGGTCACCAGGGGCCCGACCACACACTGTGCCCCGGGGCCCCCTCAGGGAGGTGGGTCAGGCCCTGTGTGGACAGACACTCGGAGGTCACACTTCACACTTCAAAGTGGGAACTGACTCGTAAACTCTTGTTTTCTCCGCCCAGAGACACGCGGGGCACAAAGGCCTCGCGCAGCCGCCCGGAGTCACGTCCAGCGGGGAGACATTTACATCACAACGGCTTCAAACCGCCTCCGAACCGGCTGCACCCGTTTGATCCGGCGACACGGACAGGACGGGACACGGCGGGAACATTTCAGAGAGACGTTCAGGCCTGACAGCCGCGAGTATCGACATATTATTGATTTTAAATTCCCAGATTTTAAAGAGGTTAATAATCACTGAGGCTCCCAGCTGCAGGAGATTTACAGGGACAAGTCCGTTTAAATTATACAGGAATTTACCACAAGTCTCCTTCAAAACCTGCAGCAACATATTTAAAAAATACACATGCTCGATTCTGATAAAGAGAAAATGGAAGAAAAGATTCATAAAAATGAAATAATAGAGACTTCTGAAGTTACGGTTTAAGACGATTTGAAAACTCAATTTCAATTCAATTGAGAAAATATTAAAACGAGTCTGTATCTATTATTGTTATTATTATCATTATTGTTATTATTATTATGATTATTATTGTTGATGAAAATGAACACAAAGAGCTAAATGCAGTTTATTTTTAAAGATCTCTTCCATATTTTATATCAGATGTTTTATTATTTCTATATAATATTTCAGGTGATCACAATGACTCTCACACACCTGGACAGGTGGCTCTGATATCAGCTGTCTGAGTACACACGTGCAGACATTTGAGTATCACCGCGGCTCCTATCTGACTTATTAAAATGTGAAACAGTCTGTTGAGCTGCCGGGAAGAAAAGACGAACTGCAGCAACGGAACAAATGATCCCGCGTTTAAAGAGCAGGCACCGTGTGAACTGGAAATATTACAGATTATTGATTAAACTCAGGCCTCAATCAGCCAGTTCAATGATGGAAGTTAGGAGAGAACGTGTCATCGGGATCACCTCGGGTCTTACTTGGGTTGGAGGGCGGGACGGAGCTGCGTCGTATCCAGTCGTACGGGTTCCTCCTCTGCGGGGAGCCGGGGGACAGCTGCCCCGCCGACACGTTCAGAGACGCGGGGAGCAGAGCAGGTGGCTGCCCGGGGAACTCCGCGGGGCTGAACCCCAGCGTGGGACCGGTGGAGCCGGCAGGAGGCCCCCCGGCTGCTGCGGCCGCGGCTGCCGCTGCAGCGGCGGCGGCAGCCGTGTGGCCGTAGTGGTGGGAAGACCAGTCGTCCCGTGTGGGCGGAGGGGGAGGCGGGTAAGCCGGGCTCCAGCCGCCGGGGCCCGGACCGGCCTGCTGAACCGAGTGCGGGTCGTTGTTGATGCCGTGGTGATGGTGATGGTAGCCCGCGAAGTCTGAGTACTGTGGCGGGGCGGGGACCGGGAAGTTCTGCGGGCTGAGGCTGATGCCCGGATGGCGGGTCACCGCGTTCTGGTGCGGGTACATGGCGGGGTCCTTATCCAGCTGCAGGTAACTCACGTACATCTTTCCAGGTGAGGGGACTCCCTCTGCATACTGCGGATCCAGCCTGCCTCTCTCTCTCTCCCCTCTCACCTGCTCTACAGGTAAAGTGAGCTTCACAGTGTATGCTCTCTCTCTACCTGTCCACACCTCCACCTGTCCTCTCTCTCTCTGTCTGTGGTTTCTCCATCAGCTGCACGTTAAAAACTGCTGCAGTCACATGGGGCACTTTTATTGCCCTTATCTCCCTCCTCCCGCCTCTGTGTCTCACTGTCTCTCTCTCTCTCTCTCTTCTTCCTCCACTCCACTTCATCATCATCATCATCATCATCATCATCATCATCATCATCATCATCGTCGTCGCATTTTCCCAAACACATCTGAATAAATTCGTCTCTCCCTCTGAATTAAACCACATTAATAAATGTAGATTCCACAGGTCACTACCTGACCGGGTCCACCCCCCTCCCTCCCCCGGTCTGCAGGCTCTTCTCATCGGCCTGAATTTGCATGACAGTCCGCTGCTGCATTTCAAAGGCTGCCATCAAAGGGAAAGAGACAAACTTACAAATGACAGTAAAGAGAAGGAAAAAAAAAAGGACTAACATGTCGTCAGTCAGAGCGACGGCAGGTTCATCCATTCATTCATTCATTCATCCATCCATTCATTCATTCATTCAGTTTCTTTTCAGGTCACATCCTTCCTCTGTCAGGATGGAACAACGTGGGAAAATGTTCATTTTATTTATTTAATATAAATTAAATATAAAATAATTCAAGTCAAATCCAAATTAAAATCTCCTTCACATCATGAGTCAGACTGAGACTGATATTGATCCATTTAAATATAATTATCACAGATCATTCACTGTATTTATTAGAATGGAAGAATTCAGATGACTAGAAATGAATAGAGCAAAAATACAGTTACAGTGCAATAATTTAATAATATTTCTGCTCTATTGTTTTTCATTATTATTATTATATATTTTAAATTTGATTAGGCTTTATTTTTTTATTTTTAGTGTTTTTAAATGTTTTTCTAATTAGTGTCTTCGCCTTATAAAAGCACATCAGACCAACACAACAACTAATACTTCTAATGATAATAATAATAATAATAATAATGATAATAATAATAATATAGGAGCATTTATGAGTAAAGAATAGATAAATAACAAAAAGTCATGATGCTGAGAATAAATGAATATTCTAACTTGAATCTGTCGTTTTTAAGGAGAAAGAAAGAAAACGTAAATAAATAAAAATAAAACAGGAGTCACACACACACACACACACACACACACACACACACACACACACACACACACACACACAGGTCACCTGAGGGTTAGCTGCTTCCTCACCTGAAAGTAAAAAGAAAGAGGCGGAGCCTGTGGAGAGTAGAACAGAATGGAAGGTGACTCACCTGAAGACGGTCATCCAGAGACCAGGTCCAGGTCCAGGTCCAGGTCCAGGTCCAGGTCCAGGTCCAGGTCCAGGTCCAGGTCCAGGTCCAGGTGCAGGTGCAGGTCCAGGTCCAGGTCCAGGTCCAGGTTCTGTCTCTCTCATTCACAAGGGGTTCGATACTTGCTCATCAGTACTACGGTGGAGGAAGGGATTTAAACTGACAACCCTCCAGAAGAAGCAGCCCTCCTGCCGGTCCTCAGAACCCCCCCCCCCCCCCCCCCCGGGAAGAAGGATGAGCTGCTTCTTTATGGATTTATGGGAGATTTATTGTTTTACACTGATGAGTATTCGGTTCATTCTGCTGCAGTAAAATCACATAAAGCCTCAATAATTCTCATTAAACACAAACACACAACGGTTTGATTGATGTTTCTGCTTCAGCTGCTTCTGTGTCTCAAGTATTTTAATTACCAGTAACTTTCTGTTTATTCCTGTATTTACTAGAATTAAATGAACCTTTACTTTTATATTTCCAACCATAATATTACATATATATCCAGTCTGCACCTGAGATTCTTTTGCATGAAAGGAAAGATTTATAATTCAAAAAACTGTAACTCAAAATCAAAGGTAAGTTAATTTTCTTACCTGTTTTACATCCAATGAAAAGTTAAATTTTTCCTCTCACATTTATGGCATTTTTCCTTTTCTTTTTAAAAGAAGCAGCGATTTAAAAAAAATGTTTTCATCTATTCAATAGACTAAAATCATTAATTTATCAAATTTAAAATTGTTCTCTTTTTGAGCCTGATATTTATTAATAAATTCAAGAGGAAATTGTTTTAAAAATTTAATTTATTACAGATTCAGTGTCAAGTTTACTCCTCACAAAGCTCATAAACCAAATACTTTTACAGTCGACATAAAATAAGACACAGTTAAACTAAATTTACATAACTATGGGTCATAAGATATAAGATTTAATAATGCTGTGAAAATAAATGTAAAGTGCAATTTTGCCACTGGAAATAATCAGAGAGATCTCTGTATTAATTATCTTTCGGCTGAATGTTTATAATGCCGTTTTGTGAAATGAAGATAAAGGAAAATAAAACATATTTATTGTAAATAAAAAGAAAAATATAATAATAATATCAAGAAAATTATGTTTTTATTTCACGCTTTAAATTTGTAATCTTGCACAACAGCTACAGGGTGTCAGGTTAAATGTAATAAAGGCACATTAATGAATTTAGAATGACATTCATGCAATTTATAGTGAAAGTAAAACATTTATAACAGTTATAACCAGTATATAAACATGTGGATAATAAATGGTTTATAACAGATATAATGAAGCTATAATCAGATCTAAGTGTTTGTTAATGTCGTGGAGGAGGCTGCTCTGCTGTAGTGAAACAGCTGGTGTTGACAAATACTGCACATTAACAAACATTTAAAATGTCCTAATATCTGTAAACAACTACAATATTGTGTGTTATAAACCATTTATTACATGTTTATAAATGCTTAAAGTAACATTTCTTTAAAATCTGAATAATTAAGTTTTCTTTTCCATGTTCATTCAGAAGTGACTTTTTGATCACATTTATTATTATAATTCTATTTATTAATTTAAATTCAATATTGATTTAAATATATTGATAAAATACTATGTAAAACATTATTTTTTTCACTCTGAAAAAATATGGGTAGATGGTATTTGTTTACTGGAAAGAACAAATTGTCATGTAAACACCACATCCTACAATATTTATTATTCATTATCATATTTTACAGTAATTAAACCACAGCAGGTCAGACTGTGAGATAATCCTTATTTCATCATTAAAATATCTTTTTATAAACAGAGATGTGGCCAAGAAGAAACAACAATAAATACATTACAAAGAGACTGAGACACACGTGCATGTTATAAAAGAAGATAAATCATAACCAGGTAAAATTCACAAACAGATGTGAGTTTGATCAAATGATCAGAAGAAGAATTCCAGCAGTGATCACAGCTGTCAGAAAAAATACTCCATAACAAGTAAAAGTCCTGTGTTTAAAATATTACTGAGTAATAAAAAGTCAAATTACAAACCAGAAAAATGTACGTAAAATACTCACTATAGAAAAAAAATGCTCCTTTGCCACTAATGATTCACAAAAATATATTATGAATTATTATCACAGATGTATTAATGTGTAAGTTCCCTTTCACTGGATTACTCTCTGTACTGAGGGGAAGTTTATTCTGTAAATAAAGACATTTCAGAATAAAATGAATAAAAATCTTATTTTCTTCAAACAAGTGACTTTCACTTTTATATGAGTTGGTTTAAAACTCCTCTAGTCTATAAGACTAAGTCTAAATACGACTAGATAATAATAAATAATCCTCTGAAATGACTTGATAAGAAGGAGGTGTTATGCATTGAACTTTTAATGAAGGTTTTGTATGTAAATCGTAAACTGAAAGGTTCAGAAGCGTGATGAATTCACTTGAGGAAAAAAAGAGATTCTGAGAATTTTTTTTAAAGAAAACTTTTCTCAGAGTTCAGAAGAATTCGTTGTTAATTTAAAAACAACTATTTTGCTGTTTGCCTGAATTAACGACATCATTTTCTCAGAATTCTGGGATAATTACCTCATTAATGCAGAAATAAAGAGCAGAATTTTTTCTCCTCAGGTGAATATATGATGTTTCCGTAGGAAAAGTGACTATTAGTTGGCAAATAAATGTAGAGCAGTAAAAATGTATTGAAGTTGAAATAGTCAGTTAAAGAACAGTGGCTCAAAATGAGCTGAGTAAATGTTCTGTGTGTTGCCTTCCACCACTGGTTCCTTATTTTGCGTCATGAGCTTTGATTTGAAGTTTTCTAAAGCTGAAGTAAAAAAATGAGGTGAAAGAAAAAGACGAGAAAAAGAAATAAAGACAGACAGAGGCGGAATAAGAGAAGAAAGAAACAGAACATTTCAGAAGAGGAGATAAGGAGGAATGTGTGTGTGAACTGGGTGTCCATCTTGTTTCTGTTTCCCTCTGTCACCTGTCCTCAGGTAAACCATTAACCAGCGAACGGCCATAAAACTCCACTTTATGGAAAGTTTGATGATGACGGAGGGTCGTAAACGCTGAAGCTCGTTATGGCCTCGCTGGCTGTTGTTGTTCACCTTGACACAGTTTGCATGCGAGAACAAACACCGAGGGTCGAGCTGCTGTCAGTCCACTGCTGCTAGCTTAGCTTAGCTTTGCTTATCTTAGCCTAGCTTAGTTTATATGAGGCAAACCAGTGGAGACGCGACACGGCGGGCTTCAATTTTAATTATATTATTATAATTGATATATTGAGGACATCTGCTGAGAGCATGTCACGTTAAACAACACTGCCGAGGCCTCAGAGGATGAATCTGACCATTTGCTCTGCCACATGAAACTTTCTGACCATTTTCTCTGTAACGCCTTCGGGACGACGTCATAATGAGCCCTCGATGAGAATTAATCGTTACTCCAAGTCCTTTATTCCTTCTGCTATTTACTGCTCAACGCAGACAATACTCATTTTAAATGATTGTTATTTTACAGTAATTCATTGGATATGTTGTTGTATTTATTGCTTTTATTTACTGCTTTTATTTGTTGTTTTACTTATTGTAACTGTCGTATGCCTTTTAATGTTTCCTCGGACATTTGAACTATATCTGGTTGGTTGTCTGTTCAGACCAAATGTATGGACTGGGAAGCAACAGATGAATTTTCCATGGGGGATAAATAAAGTTGTCTGAACTGAACTGAACATTAAGATGCTGACGGTGGTTAATTACTAGTAACCTGAACAAATGTGATGAAGCAGCAGCTACAGATGCTGATGATGGAGAACACAAAGAGACATGAACAGTTCAGATACATGTGGCTCACTATTTGGCAGGAAACAGGTCACTGTCGCCCTTTTTATCTAATGTGTTATAGCAGCTTATAAATGATTTATAAAGTGTTAACAAGCTAATTAATAAACTAGTTTCATACAACCTTTATAATGGTAGTCTTATTGTAAAGTGGTACCAACTTTTTTTCAGCATCCAAATGTTTGATGGGTATCAATAATCCTAATCTAGAAATATGAACAGAGCTACACTGTTTATTGTTGAGAAATGAGTTGAGTTTTAGCCGTCTGCGTAATTATAAATGACATGCTTCCTGTAGGATATTGTAGTTCTTAGTGGACAAATGTGAAATGAATTGCTCCCAGCAGCTTCTGTACCAACGGAAGATGATGTTAGAGGGACGAGACAATTTTACACTCCATTGTTAAACGCATTGAAAAGTGTTTAAAATACATAAAATACACCATCAATTCACAATCACATTTCAACATTCACTTTGCGAATCAATAATGATGCTGATACTGTAGTAATTATAATAACAATAAAGTTTATTGTGGGTCATTATGTAGTATTAATGTTAGCAGAGTAAACTATAAAACTGCATCATCAGCAAAAGACAAATATACATTTAGACACACTTGCAAAGAGCATTTATGTCAAAGCATTTTAATGATTTATACAAATTGTTTTCTATGACAGAATGAGCTTCTTTTCACAAACAAATAAGTTTGGTTTCTTTTAAACATTTTTATACGTCAAAATAATTTAAAATAATTGTTGTTAATTTTTATTAAAGTGTCTATAAACTTTTGATTGCAGCTATACCATATATATTATGTTTATCACATTGTTACTATTTATGATATCATACACAAGCAAAACTGTTTTACAAAGACAAACTAAGAGGCTTTATTAACTCGCATATAATTCTGATTTTATAAGGAGTTGAATTAATTCACAAGGTTTTTCATTGGTCATTAAAATCAGTTAATTGTGTATATTTATAATCCTGGTGTGTGTTTTCCTGTTGTGATGAATGTTTAAATTAAACTGTGCAGAAGTGATCAGGTGGATCAGGTCACTTATTTACTGCTGCCACCTTGTGGTCAACTAAAATCACAGTGATTATGAACTAATTCAGCTGTTTATATTCAAATGAGACATTAAATCAGAATATTAATGTGTAATCTGCATTAAAATGGCTGAATAATGTTTAAACATGTTAACAACAGCTGTTACTATTCGCATGATATTCATGAAGAAAACCATATATCCAAATTACTCTCATAAATAAGGACTACTTTCTTATATGTTGAAGGATGGGTTTAGGATTTAAATGATTAGTTGATTCATTTATTGACAGAAATTCCACAGTTTTGATGACAGATTGATAGTTTTAGTCATTTTATAGAAAAGGAAAAACTCTCAGATTCCAGCTTCATGAATGTGAGCATTTGCTTTTTTATTTTTACACATTACGTTTTGGTTATATTGCTCAAACAAAACAACATGTTGAGGCTACAACATTTAGTCATTAGAAGCCAACGTTGCTTGTTAATCGCTTTGAATTACAGTGTCTGCCACGGGAAACTCACGCAGGAAGAACCGGGAATCAACCTATAAAACTTGTTTCCGCCCGGTTTCGAACCGGGGACCTTTCGCGTGTGAGGCGAACGTGATAACCACTACACTACGGAAACCGCACTGACCGCAATACAAACAACAAGAGCCATTAGCTTGAGCTGTTGTGGTAAACATGTGAGGGCTGCGGAATCTGGCTCCTCCCGCCAAGTTTTGCGTCTTGTGTCCTCCCTTACGTCCGCAGAGGATACATAAATCCTGGCGGTTGCTTCACGGTCAGGATATTCATAACTAACATACAAGCGACTTAGCATCAACATGAGTGGACGCGGCAAAGGAGGAAAGGGACTCGGAAAAGGAGGCGCCAAGCGTCACCGTAAAGTTCTCCGTGATAACATCCAGGGAATCACCAAGCCCGCCATCCGCCGTCTGGCTCGCCGTGGCGGAGTCAAGCGTATCTCCGGTCTCATCTACGAGGAGACCCGCGGTGTGCTCAAGGTCTTCCTGGAGAACGTCATCCGTGACGCCGTCACCTACACCGAGCACGCCAAGAGGAAGACGGTGACCGCCATGGATGTGGTCTATGCCCTGAAGAGGCAGGGCCGCACCCTGTACGGCTTCGGCGGTTAAACTCACCCTGACCCGCTCATACCGACACTCAAAGGCTCTTTTAAGAGCCACCCCCTAAATCTCAAGAGATTAATCCTGCTTTATTTAATCAAAGAAATGCTTAAACCTGCTAACAGTACATCAACACTATTACATATCAACACAGTAAAAAGCTTGATACTGCTGATTTCATATGGTCACTGATCTAACTCCAGTTGTTTAACTATGTAACTTTCCTATTAGCATTAGCATTAATTTAATAAAAATATTTATGTGAACGATTTAGTATAAATGCATATTTATCACGCTGAGCAGATCTGGTGTTTGCAGGACTCATCCAACGTTTTATTTTGTAGTACAGACCTACAAACAGATTTATCTTTATTAGCTACAAGAAATGTAATAACATTTAATTAAATTATTTTCCACCGACCTACATATATTCTATGTTGTTGAATGGCGTGTTGATTTAAAATACCTCATTGATAACAACTTAATAAAATGTTCTGCTCGCAACATATCTCTCTCTCTCTCTCTCACACACACACACACACACACACACACACACACACACACACACACTTCAGTAAAAGCTTTGTTGCTTTACACACTTCCGTGTGAGACAAGAGACATATAAACTTGTGATTGTCAATGACTCATAATGCTTCACATTATTAAAGAGTTGCTAAATTAAAAATTGCTTTCATTTTAAAGTCTAAAGAAAATGGTAACAGATGGGGATAATAAATGTTAAGATCTTGGTATTCGGTAAACTTGATGATCTTGGTGCAAGTTTTAAAACTTGTCAGGGAAACACAGCTAGCTAAGAGTGTAAGATTGTTCATTGTGTTCATCGCAGCTTTGCATAAACTGGAGGGTTTGTCAAAGATTATGATATATCATTATTAATTACTTATGATAGATTAAATTATAATGATACCAATAATTATTTTTGTAAATTGATGTTTTTGCGTTTCACAAAAATAATGTCGGTATGTTTAATGTGAAGCCACCTGCCTGTCAATCCAGCTACTAACGGCTTCCACAGAGCTGCAGCAGAGCAGTGCTAAAACATTAATGCTATAAACCTACAGACTGCGGCTGTCAGATCTGAGCTGACTGTATCCTTGGTCTCTTGTGTAGCGCATGCTCAGTGTTGCTCGAAAGACAGCCAATCCTGTGCAAGCAACAGCACAGTCTCATTTGCATATAGGACGTATATATTGACCGTTCGCTTCTTCACCATTTATCCGTCTTTGGAACAAAAAGCATCCATATCTAACCATGCCTGATCCCGTGAAAGCACCGAAGAAGGGCTCCAAGAAAGCCGTCTCTAAGAGCGTCTCTAAGACCGGCAAGAAGAAGAGGAAGACCAGGAAGGAAAGCTACGCCATCTACGTGTACAAGGTGCTGAAGCAGGTCCACCCCGACACCGGCATCTCCTCCAAGGCCATGAGCATCATGAACTCCTTCGTGACCGACATCTTTGAGCGCATCGCCGGGGAGTCTTCCCGCCTGGCTCAGTACAACAAACGCTCCACCATCACCTCCAGGGAGATCCAGACCGCCGTCCGCCTCCTGCTGCCCGGGGAGCTGGCCAAACACGCCGTGTCTGAGGGCACCAAGGCCGTGACCAAGTACACCAGCTCCAAGTAAAGCCGCTGTTGATACCAACTACATAAAGGCCCTTTTCAGGGCCACACACTGATTCAACTAAGAGAACAATTCCTCCGAATTATAACAAACGAATCCATTTGTTTTGTGATAAACACCCTAAAAGCTTCATTTTAATGATTTAGACCCATATAATGTCACTGTTGCCCCATTCCCCGGGTGTGTTATAGAGAAGCACCAGGCCTCTAAAGTTTTTACCTTATTTGTAGATGATTTCCTCCATTAAATATTCCATCACTTATGTTATATAAGCCACTAGTGTGTTTAACTGATTTATAGGTTTATTTCTTTCCTCTGGCAGAGGTGATCCTGGTTACACAATGTTGCATAAGATCAGTGGAGAATGAATTAAGATTTTAAACATCAAATAAGTAACTAGAAGATGTTGACCTTATTTAGGGTAGAATTTAATTTATCAACAATGTCACATAGTGTGTGTCATTCACTCTTAATGGACTCAAGGTGTATGTTTACACACAAGGTGGTAAAGTGATGGTTGGTCTTATCTGACGTGGTTTTGTGAGGTACTTCAGGGTATTACCTTTGGGTTCGGGTCGGGTTGGAGAAAGCAGCCGGGAGCAGCACCACGATGTTCTGCTGTGTCCGGGACATCTGCAAAAAACGCGTTTAGCCACTTAAAAAAAACAAACAAACAAAACCGCATAGATGAAAGCTAATATCACTTATAGTGTTAGCTTTATTTTGAAAATTTTCACCGCTTTATTTTGCCGCCAAACAGCCCTTTCCTTCTTCTGAGTAAACTTAACAGTGAAAGTGAAACATTCAGTGAAATATATCATAAACAACATTAACAAAACAACAACCATTATTCGCACATTATAAACAATACGTCGAACAGCAGCTCCTTTACTTACAACACCAACAACCGTTTGTGTTTCTTCTTCAGAAGCCGTTACACCTCTGTTGCTGATTGGTTTACTTGAATTTTCAAATTCCTTTTATCCAATAGTTGATCACCCACAGCGCGCGCTCCTCCCGGCTCAGACCAATCAGCGCTGGCCTCGCTCCGGCACTTCCTATATAAACCCGCTGTTCGCAGTCAGACAGAACACGTTCTTTCACTGCTCAGACAGAGAAACACTGACGAACCAAAATGGCCAGAACCAAGCAGACCGCCCGTAAGTCCACCGGAGGAAAGGCTCCCAGGAAGCAGCTGGCGACCAAAGCCGCCCGTAAGAGCGCCCCGGCCACCGGCGGAGTGAAGAAGCCTCACCGCTACAGGCCCGGTACCGTGGCTCTGAGAGAGATCCGCCGGTACCAGAAGTCCACCGAGCTGCTGATCCGCAAGCTGCCCTTCCAGCGCCTGGTCAGGGAGATCGCTCAGGACTTCAAGACCGACCTGCGCTTCCAGAGCTCCGCCGTCATGGCTCTGCAGGAGGCCAGCGAGGCTTACCTGGTCGGCCTGTTCGAGGACACCAACCTGTGCGCCATCCACGCCAAGAGGGTCACCATCATGCCCAAAGACATCCAGCTGGCCCGCCGCATCCGCGGGGAGAGGGCTTAAACTGACCCCAGACCAGTTCACAAACACAACGGCTCTTTTAAGAGCCACTTACATGTTCTAGAAGAGCAACACCTTTATGAATCTGCACTATGGAGCAATTACAATACACAAGCTGATAGATCCATTGATTAACTGATTAGGTAATAAAGTCTTATAACAGATGATAATATAAAATAGATGTAAAATACAGACATTTATGTTATAGATTCATTATCATTAAGAATAAGTTTTTCAAAATCTAGGTAGACTAATCACTAGAGATAATAAACATTTTCTATATGTCAATGTTGGTCGAGTTGAGCTCAATATCTTGAAGTGTGAAAACTGACAATATGAGCAGAAAACAAGTATCATCTTCTACCACTGAGGAGAAATTATTGTGTCGCCAAACTGGAAATCTTTCTTTTCCTTGCTGGATCTGTCACAACTACAACCAAATGTCAGTCAGTGTTGTAAACCAAAAAACTATACTGCACTGACTCTCTTAAAGGTGTCATGTAAACAGTCACACATCATCACTTACTGGTATATTGGAGTCAGTTGATTTATATGCTCATGATTTTTCTGCTTCCTGTAATATGGACACCGCCTCCTTCTGTGGAGCTGTGGTATTTCGATGTGAGGAGTTGCAGACCAAAGTGATACTGAGGCAGGGATTCTCTATTTTCTAATATTCAGTGGAAAAATGTGGCTTCTTGTTTACAAACGTACTATTCCTATCAAAATAAAAGAACTATGATATAAGATAATGCACAACATACAACCATTAAACGATTACATCTCACGATTTGCTGAGATCAGCAACAAATGTGATTTCTGTACAATGGAAGAAGAAGACATAAAACATTTGTTTTATGAGTGTTCAGTAACAAGGACTTTTTGGAGATCCTTCAACTACTTTGCTAATCAAACAAACCATACAATCAATTTAGTGTTAAGATATTAGCTAAGATTTTTCTTATTGTTCTCACTCTCTGTGCGACTGTTTCATTTTCTTGTTTTTGCTTCTACATACAGTATGTATGTACTTATATTTAGTGATATATCATTTTTTAATACATGATACAAGATACAGGAAGGACTTTGCAATACCTTATGATGGACTATAAAACAGGAGACTTGTTTGTGATGTCTGTTTATATTTGTAAGTGACTCAAGGTGTCTTAATAAAGATGGTTAAAAATAATTGATGTAGGTTTTAATAGCATAGTATTAATAGTTTTAATAGGATAATATACTGAATATTAACAATAAGTTTCCTCATGAAATGTGGTCAGCTAACGAGCAGGTACTCATCAGAACTAACTCACAGCTGTAGAGTGATTAACATGAATATGAAAGTTTCATATTTGAACACAACGGTCGTTGCATGAATATGATGAACATGATTTTGAAATCTCATACAACACGCGGAGCGAAACCTTCGTGACGTATACTCTCTTCTGATTGGACGATCACCGTTACGCTCAATGTGACCAATCCGGAAGCAGCAGGTTGGTGTATATATATCCGGTTGTCTGCCTGAGTTTGATACTTCTCTTTCTCTGTACTTAAAGAATCAAAACTTACAACATGTCTGGACGTGGTAAGACCGGAGGAAAGGCCAGAGCAAAGGCCAAGACCCGCTCCTCTCGTGCTGGACTCCAGTTCCCCGTCGGCCGTGTCCACAGGCTGCTGAGGAAGGGCAACTACGCCGAGCGTGTCGGTGCCGGAGCTCCCGTCTACCTGGCGGCGGTGCTCGAGTACCTGACCGCTGAGATCCTGGAGCTGGCCGGAAACGCCGCCCGCGACAACAAGAAGACCAGGATCATCCCCCGCCACCTGCAGCTGGCTGTCCGCAACGACGAGGAGCTCAACAAGCTGCTCGGCGGAGTCACCATCGCTCAGGGCGGCGTGCTGCCCAACATCCAGGCGGTGCTGCTGCCCAAGAAGACCGAGAAGCCCGCCAAGAAGTAAACGGGAACTCTCTTCTCTAAACACAACGGCTCTTTTAAGAGCCACACACTCTTTCTGAGAGATCAAACATCTTCCTGTTAACTATATTATAACTATATTACTGTGGACACACTAAAATTACTAGACGTCCATGTCACTTTATTGGTGGATAGGTGACACCCAAAACTATTACAGCTGGAAGTAGACATTCAGAGGCTGACTGACCTGTTTATTCATCGCTCAGGAATAGATGAAGGAACAGTTTATACTATTTTTGTGAATAGAAACCTTTCGCCCAACACGGTTCTTTTGAAACTTCTGAGGCTGAAAATAAAGCCGACACGGAAGTACCAGACACTGCAGGTCAAATAGCCGCCTGGGGCCGACAACAAAATCTTGCAATCCCCATAGACTGCCATGTTAAAATGTCCAACCATTAGCGGGAAGTTTGGCGGAGCAGATCATTGAGCTATGTTTTAAAACCTCACGCATTAACTCACATTTATGACACATTATCTACATCACAGTGGACAAAAGCATAGCTTGAAAATTAACTACTAAAATTGATAGTTTGTTTGTAATTGTGGAATAGAATAAAACTACCAGTATTCAGAACTTGTAAATACACTGATAGAGCCGAGCTCTTCCTGTGTAGGTAATTAAGGATTCCACAGTGTTTCCGGTCCCTGTCGAACAGCCAGTAGAATACAGCTAATCAATAAACAATAAATGTCACAAACAATTTTTGTTTTAAGAAAATCGAAGATCTTCCACTTTTACTACAAGTTTTCAATCAAAAGGGATTTGGCTGCTACAACTGTAGGGAGGCTGCTGAGTGTGGCCCCGCCCAGCGAAAAACGCGCCATCAGTCCTCTCCTACGTCCGCAGATAACATGTAAAGACTGAGTGTCTGCCGGCGAGTCACATTATCTTCTTTAATCTGAACGAAGAGAAAATGAGTGGACGCGGCAAAGGAGGAAAGGGACTCGGAAAAGGAGGCGCCAAGCGTCACCGTAAAGTTCTCCGTGATAACATCCAGGGAATCACCAAGCCCGCTATCCGCCGTCTGGCTCGCCGTGGCGGAGTCAAGCGTATCTCCGGTCTCATCTACGAGGAGACCCGCGGTGTGCTCAAGGTCTTCCTGGAGAACGTCATCCGTGACGCCGTCACCTACACCGAGCACGCCAAGAGGAAGACGGTGACCGCCATGGATGTGGTCTATGCCCTGAAGAGGCAGGGCCGCACCCTGTACGGCTTCGGCGGTTAAACTCACCCTGACCCGCTCATACCGACACTCAAAGGCTCTTTTAAGAGCCACCCACTAAATCTCAAGAGATGCTTTATTCCTGCTTTATCTAATCAAAGAAATGCTTAAACCTGCTAACAGTACATCAACACTATTACATATCAACACAGTAAAAAGCTTGATACTGCTGATTTCATATGGTCACTGATCTAACTCCAGTTGTGTAACTATGTAACTTTCCTATTTGCAAAGTACTCAATTATTGTGTATCAAAACATGCTTCTTATTACTGTGTTAACAGAAGGCTACATACAGACAAGATGCTGTCAGCTGATGGCGGATTGCAGCAGCTTTTTAGCCCCTTTGTTTACTGATTTTTGAATTCATTTCATTCATTTATTCAATAATTTTCCATATTATATTTGATTTTTTTGCAAGAGCCACCAAATCTTAAGAGATTAATCCTATTTTATTTAATCAACAAATGCTTAAACCCGCTAACAGTGCGTGAACACTATTACTATCATACCATTATAAACTGTCCCTGTGAGAGATTACTTATCTTCTTGTTCCTCATTGTATGTTTCACAACTTGATAAATCAATTTTGGGGAATGAAATTTTACTGTTTTATATGGTCAGCTGAAAACGTTCTCACAAGACCTGTCATCAAAGCATGTTGGTTTAACATAACTACTGCTGTGAAAAAAGAAACGTGTTCATCAAGGGCCCAGACATCCTGTGTAGGCTTCATCTAGTTAGTGTGGTAAATATTTTTATGTGTCGTAATTTATTTTATCATCAGTGGAAAAGCACCTGTATGATTGTGTAAGATCTTATTCAGAATATACCTGAGTTCTATACTTGCATTAATTTTGTCTTCATTATTAAAACGAAAGGGTTACACAATAATAATTAAACATGAAAAGGACCAATTATTTAATAAACCAAATAAATACATAAATAAAATGATTTTCAAACATAGAATTCTAGTTAGAACATAATTTAATACAATTATGTGTAATGTGTTATATATTTATATAAGTGGTTTATGCATACATTAAATTGAAATTCTACATGTAAGATATATAATATCTATAACAATAGATGGTACTATGTTTTTTAATCACTTAAACCTTCCTATTAATGATTCTAAATCTTATCATTTGTCCCTTTAACAGTAAATGGCAATAAAACATTTGATGCCTTCTCGCGTATACAGATAAACGTTAAAAGGTCGCTTGTATGGCACATGCCCAGTCGCGCTTAAAAATTCAGCCAATCCTGTGCGAGGAACAGCACAGTCATGTTTGCATGAAGCACATACAAATACACCAGCGCCAAGCAACTCGAGTCATCCACTAACGGACTCACTCCAGCATCAACATGCCTGATCCCGTGAAAGCACCGAAGAAGGGCTCCAAGAAAGCCGTCTCCAAGAGCGTCTCTAAGACCGGCAAGAAGAAGAGGAAGACCAGGAAGGAGAGCTACGCCATCTACGTGTACAAGGTGCTGAAGCAGGTCCACCCCGACACCGGCATCTCCTCAAAGGCCATGCAGATCATGAACTCGTTTGTCGGTGACATCTTTGAGCGCATCGCCGGGGAGTCTTCCCGCCTGGCTCAGTACAACAAACGCTCCACCATCACCTCCAGGGAGATCCAGACCGCCGTCCGCCTGCTGCTCCCCGGGGAGCTGGCCAAGCACGCCGTGTCTGAGGGCACCAAGGCCGTGACCAAGTACACCAGCTCCAAGTAAATCCGCTGTTGGTACCAACTACACAAAGGCTCTTTTCAGGGCCACACACTGATTCAACTAAGAGAACAATTCCAAAGATTTAAGTTGTCTCACAAAACAGTCAAACTATTTACAATACAATGGTTTTATGATTTTTTTTTTATTTTATTTTTTATTTTATAAAAAATAAAGTTATGCAAATGTATATCTACCAGTTGTGCTTCTTGGTGTTGCCTTCACACTACTACATTGTTAAATGTTATCCCATTCTGTATAAAGCTGTAGTTATCCAATGTTTAAATCTGTGAAATTTACTTATTCCACTATAATCAATTTATGATTTACTTTTTTTTTTTTTCCCTCTTCACATAGTAAAAATATAACATCCACCCAACAATTGTCTGCTGAGCTGGTCCCTTTCACTGTAATTAAATATGCTGGATTAGCACATGATGACACAGAAAAAAAAATAACCTACACACAATTATTGTTGCGGTTAACATCACAGTTCCTTTACACAGGATGAAACTGTAAAAAGTGCCAGTTAAAATATAATCCATGTACTCTTATTAAAATAAATTATAAACAAACGTGTTTTTGTTCAGACATGCAGGTGTACACAAAACACTGAATATCATGACAAAGACATCAAGTCTAAAATATGTGATATGTAAAAGTCTGGAAAATCACATCTCCAATAAATAAGCAATGAACAAGCTGTATTTACATCATTTTGTCGAAGTCATATACATGTTTCTGACAACTTTCGCTAATATAGAACAATACATATATATGTTCATGTGGCATGTTGTATTTTGAAATTCCCTGCAGTGGAAACTTAATGTGCACAATGCAAAATCATCTGATTGACATAATTCTTTATTTTGTTTTGTATGTGTTCATGCTGGAACAGCACTGTAAAGAAGGTGTGAACTGTGTGTATCAAAAAAGAACAGACAATTCTCATGACAACAAAATATTTTAAATACAAAGGCACGTTTATGAAAATCTTGCCCACTTTTAATAACTTCCATAGCAAGTTTTATGTATATTGTAAATCCCTGAATCAGCTAAAGTGAATGTTTCATTCATTACCATCATTTAAATTGAAAATCAATTCATGTTAACATTCATTTATGTATTATTTATCACATTACAATTCAGCTACTTCAATTAAACACATGAGGATTTTTAATACCCTGGTTACTTATACTGTATACTTCTTATAAGAAATATATGGTTGTTTGAATTATATTTAATCTATTACTGTGTAATATTTCACAGTTAACACCGATTTAACCGGTCAACCCTCTTTTTGAAATCTCATACGACGCGCGGAGCGGAAGTCTTAGTGACGTGTACTCACTCCTGATTGGACGATCATCGTTACGCTCAATGTGGCCAATCCGGAAGCAGCAGGTTGGTGTATATATATCAGGTTGTCGGCTTGAGTTTGATACTTCTCTTTCTCTGTACTTAAAGAAACGAAATTTACAACATGTCTGGACGTGGTAAGACCGGAGGAAAGGCCAGAGCAAAGGCCAAGACCCGCTCCTCTCGTGCTGGACTCCAGTTCCCCGTCGGCCGTGTCCACAGGCTGCTGAGGAAGGGCAACTACGCCGAGCGTGTCGGTGCCGGAGCTCCCGTCTACCTGGCGGCGGTGCTCGAGTACCTGACCGCTGAGATCCTGGAGCTGGCCGGAAACGCCGCCCGCGACAACAAGAAGACCAGGATCATCCCCCGCCACCTGCAGCTGGCTGTCCGCAACGACGAGGAGCTCAACAAGCTGCTCGGCGGAGTCACCATCGCTCAGGGCGGCGTGCTGCCCAACATCCAGGCGGTGCTGCTGCCCAAGAAGACCGAGAAGCCCGCCAAGAAGTAAACGGGAACTCTCTTCTCTAAACACAACGGCTCTTTTAAGAGCCACACACTCTTTCTGAAAGATCAAACATCATCCTGTTCTAAACCACATCACACCATTTACCATTGCTATTTATTACAACACTTCATGAGGTCAGGTTACAAACCAGGTCTGATTGAGTATATCTGAGTGGATGTATGTTACAGGAGATAAAACTAGAATAGATATTGGAGAAATACATTATGTATTGTAGGCTGTAAATGTTCAATGCCAAAACAGTTCAGTACCGGTCCTTTACAAGCAACTTGTCTTAAGCTGCTAATCATGTAAGGTATAGGTTTGTTTACATATTTATATGAATGTGTTTTAAAGGGAAAAATGAATATCAATGAATATCTAATATCAATATTCAAATTCTGAGGCTAAGTTGACAGAACCTCAGTCAAAGCTCAACACTGAGACTGGAGTTCAATTATACTAAAAGTTGAAACTGATGGAGATCAGTGATAACTGTACAATGGCAGTCTTAGTTTTCTTTTAGTATTAATATATTAACCACATACATATCAGTCAAAGCAGATTTTCTATTGTAGGATTCAATCAACGTTTTATTCTTAGGTAAACTTCTACTGCTGGAAATAGGAATTATGTACTATGAATAATTAAACAGGATTACTCTTAAGATTTGGTGGCTTGCAAAAAATCAAATATAATATGGAAAACTATTGAATTAATGAATTTTAAAATGAATGAAGCCTTTACGTTTGATAATTGAGTACTTTGCAAATAGAAGTTACATAGTTAAACAACTGGAGTTAGATCAGTGACCATATGAAATCAGCAGTATCAAGCTTTTTACTGTGTTGATATGTAATAGTGTTGATGTACTGTTAGCAGGTTTAAGCATTTCTTTGATTAGATAAAGCAGGATTAATCTCTTGAGATTTAGTGGGTGGCTCTTAAAAGAGCCTTTGAGTGTCGGTATGAGCGGGTCAGGGTGAGTTTAACCGCCGAAGCCGTACAGGGTGCGGCCCTGTCTCTTCAGGGCATAGACCACATCCATGGCGGTCACCGTCTTCCTCTTGGCGTGCTCGGTGTAGGTGACGGCGTCACGGATGACGTTCTCCAGGAAGACCTTGAGCACACCGCGGGTCTCCTCGTAGATGAGACCGGAGATACGCTTGACTCCGCCACGGCGAGCCAGACGGCGGATGGCGGGCTTGGTGATTCCCTGGATGTTATCACGGAGAACTTTACGGTGACGCTTGGCGCCTCCTTTTCCGAGTCCCTTTCCTCCTTTGCCGCGTCCACTCATTTTCTCTTCGTTCAGATTAAAGAAGATAATGTGACTCGCCGGCAGACACTCAGTCTTTACATGTTATCTGCGGACGTAGGAGAGGACTGATGGCGCGTTTTTCGCTGGGCGGGGCCACACTCAGCAGCCTCCCTACAGTTGTAGCAGCCAACTGAAAATTCTTCTCTCTGAATCTTTATTTTTAAATACTTTATTAAACAAAAAGAAAAATGTAACGAAATAATTTCTGGTTATTTAAAGGCTCGTTAATTAAAACTAATCAACTCCTCATAGCGATGATTATAACGGTAAAGTTAGTAATCTATATCAGATGTAAATCAGTACATTTACTCAACCACTGTATTTATATACAGTGTTGATGTATATGTATATTTTCTTTTTATGCTACTTTATTCTTGTACCACACTTGGTTACTGGTTACCTTTTCTTTGCATACAAAACGTATGAGGAGTTTATTAAGTATGATGCCATTTCATAAATTACATGGCTCAACAGTAGACCTATATAGAAGTAGAGCTGAAACAATTAGCCATTTAATCAATTAGTTGATTGACTGTCAATGAATTGGCAACTATGATAGATGATAGTCCTTTTTTCATGCAAAAATTTCATTTTTTTGATTTTATTTATTCAAAAATATTTTTTTTCCTCTCATATGTGTGGATTTCATGCTTTTGATTTCAATAATTTATATTTATTTTTTATTATAAGGCTCTAACCACTGATCTAGATTGGTGCAAAAACTTTTGCACTTTTTGACTTTTTTTTTTTTTCAACTTCATGAAGCAAAAAATAACAGAAAGAAAGGGGCTTTTTAATGTCTTCATGGAAAGACAGACTTTAGTACAGACACACTAAAAAGTCCCATTAAATAAATCAGAGATGAAGGGAAGCAGACAGTCAACCCGCTGTGCTCACTCCGAGCCGCCTGGTGGCGGTGATGCACCGAATACACCGGTTACCAACCGCCGTTAAAAACCAAAGACAAGAGGAAGACGGAAAACATGGTAAAAAAATAATCATGGCTAATACTTGTAGTTCTCTGTGAATGTTCCAGCGGTTAAATCTTCCTGCGCCATGTCGCTACGGTGAGTCACTGAAAACGGTCTTCAGCCGAATCTTCCCCGAAACCTTTGTTTTTGTTTATGATTTAAATTCCCGCCTCGCTCGTTGAAGATGACGGGTGTGGTCTGCTCGGTGCTGTTAGCGACGTTAGCAAGAGATGCTGAAAGCTTCAGACGTAAAAGATTAATACAATGCCTTGACCGAGGTTTGTAGAAGTTACGGGACTTTGTGCTGTCTTTCCACGGACACATCCACTGACGTCTGTTTGCAGCTCAGTTAACGCTTCTATTGGAACAACCTAAAAAATGTCGTTTTAATACCGAACTCCAATTAGAAATCAGCTAATTTTACGTGTACTGGACTACACGCTCGTCACAAGTAGGAGATAAGTAACGGTTATTTAACAAGAGGTTATGTTAAATTCGGCGCACACATCATACACAGCAACAGTCGTTAAAATAGATTTTCAATATAAAGAAAGTGGTGTGTTTGTCATTCATTCCCACAGTCAACGACAATTAAAACAACACAATAAATTGACTGAAATTCTGTGAACGTGTCAGCAGCCCCCTTCCTGCTGCCATTATGTCATGTAAATATAAACGTGCAGGAAAGTAGGTAAGTACTTTTACCAATGTTCTGCACTTGCACAGTTTTTCAGTTACTTGCTTTAAACTTTGACTTTACTACATTCAAGTAGCAAATGTTGTGATTGTATACCCCTACATTCATTTTAAAGCAATAATTACTTCACAGATTCATTGAATAAAACAAAACATAATCAACAAATGCATCATGTTTCACCCCCACCCCCCTACTTTCACTTTTGTACTTTAAATACTGTGCATTTTCTTGCTAACACTAGGTATTTACATTACAGATCACAATTAGTCTGATATAAGACAATGAATTTAATCTGTTCCAATGCAGTTAAAATACAACATATATTGGGATTTTATGAAATCTACATTGTGAAGCAGTTACTGACTGATGCAGTGTACTGTGCAGCTCTAACTCCACTTGTGACTTCCCCTCTCTCCAGTCTAATATGGATGAAGTGAACGTGGTGTCTCTTGCTGTTGGGAGATGTGTGGACGCCTGCTGCCTGCTGCTCGACCTGGTTGTCAGGACGTTCAGCTGGCTGCTTCGCTTCCTGTCCGCCATGGGCGTTTCCTTCCACAGCACGCTGGTCACCCTGAGCAGCTCCACTTTGGTCGAATACTGGAACTTTGCTCTTTTCTCCTTCCTTACCGCCACCGAGGCCGTCTCCAGCGCTGCCCACGCAGCCCTGCACGCTGTGGAGGGCTGGCTGCAGACGCTGGGAGGTGTCTTTGAAAGTTTCAAGATGATCGGACACCTATTCTGTCATGTGGCGTGGCGCACCAAGGACGTCCTGCACCGCGGGTTTATTTTAGGGAGCTGCATCCTGCGACAGACATGTGAGGGCGTCCTCATCGCGCTCAGCCTCGTTCTCTACTTCGTCAACACGGTGGTCAACATCGTGCTCATCAGCACGCAGAACTGTCTGTCTGTGTTGGCGGGTGTCTGGGAGGCGGTGGCGGGCCCTGTCCACAAAGTAGCGGAGCTGGCTCTGAATCTGCTGACCTTCCTGTACAGCTGTCTGGTCGGCGCCTCTGTGTTGCTGTGGACGCCCTGCCAGCTGCTGCTGGACTTCCTGGGAGCGCTGGGACGTGTCTTCATCACTGTTTTCATGGTTGACTCACACGGCCTGCTCGTCACAGCGGCCATCATCTCACTGGCTTTGCTGGTATTGAACCCTCGGCTTCCTGTCCTTGCTGGACAGCTGAGCCTCCGTTTGGTCACCGCTCTGCCGGGGGCCCGTGGCATAGAGACCACCTTTCGCAGGCTGTACGCGGTGATGCTGGAACCAGCTCTGGTCTACCAGGAAGTCCACACCAGGGCAGGACAGGACACGAGCAGGACGAGGCTCCTGGACACAGACACGAGCGGCTTAATGACTGAGGCCGACCCGCTGCCAGCGAGTAGCCTGAGCCAGCCGGAGTCAGTGCAGCCTCACGCTCAGCAGGACGGAGAGCCGGCGAGCGGCAGCAGCAGGATGAGTACATCCGAGCCGAGCTCGGTGGGGGAGGACGGCGAGCTGCTCACCATGCTGAAGGAGCAGGAAGAGAGGAAGAAGTGTGTCATCTGCCAGGACTTGAGCAAGACGGTGCTGCTGCTGCCGTGCCGTCACCTCTGCCTCTGCCGGCACTGCGCCGACATCCTGACGCAGCGCAGACCCGCCCAGCAGCGCTGCTGTCCGCTGTGCCGGCAGCACATCTCACAGACCTTGGACGTCTTCCTCTGATCGGTGATGGATGAACAATTACAAACTGCAGCGCACAAGAGAAACGTGGCTTTGTGGTTGCTTTTTCTGTAGAGCTACAACAATTAATCAATTAATCTAATAGTTGATCGACAGGAAAATAATAAGCAACTATTTAGATAATCGTTTAATCGTTAAGAGTCATTTTTCTATGATAGCAAACCGTCTGTTTTGGACTCTTTCTTGGACAAAACAAGATATTTGAAGCATTGATTTGGAAATTGGAACTCATCAATCAACTGAGAAAATTATTTACAGATTAATCAATAATAAAAATAATCATTAGTTGCAGCCTCATCTGTGCTCTCATATCAAACTCATGAATTAATCATTACACGAGTAGGTATATCTTAATAGCTCTTGGGTAGTCATGCCATTGTGTTCACCAACAATTATTTTTATTATTGATTATTCTGCCGATAAGTTTTGCCTCACAACTTTGCAGAGCTCAACACGCTTCCTTCAGATGTAGTGTTCGACCTAAAGACCAAATACTCAGAAATACTTAGTTTGCGAACGGTGGGACCGCGTCGTCTCGTTTCAGCATCGTCCTCGTAACGAGAGCGTGCACAGTCTCATCGCAGCGCGTGTCATGGGAAAAAAGGCAAATTAACACAAAGACGAGATGCTACAACTTCTGTTGCTGCTTGATTCAGAATGAACTCACTCTCCGTGACTCATTTACAAGAGTCTCTCTGATATAATCCACTGATTTAAAGGTTCTCAGAAACACAGAGGTTGTTGTTTATCAAAAAACCGAAGCAGGCCCCGCCCCCTGTTAGTCATTGACCACAACCTGAAACTGAGCGAGGATCAGGAGAAAAACATCAGTTATGTAATTATTTCAGCTATGGTAACGGTCACTGCTGCGTATTGCCACTGATTTCCTGATTTCTTCAAAATCTAATCAGTTCATCCTTCAGTCCCAGTGAATGTTTGTGCCAAATTTGAAGAAGTTTGGTAAAGGAGTTACTGAGATATCACGTCCACGGGAACGGGACGGACGGAAACCTGAAAACAAAACGGCTGCTGCTCCGACTGTCGCCGGCGGGAAGGAATAAAAATATTAACGTTTACATTAAGAATGACATTAATGCACTAGTTACTTAACGTGACGGACAGTTCACACGCACGTCTCCAGAAACAATAGGAAGGTCAGTGATGTGCGTTGCTAACACGCTCCTGTGCACCAGCTGCGTTAGGTACGAACGGGTACACGCGACTTCTCTCGGCACATGGCTTTGCTTTTCTCCAGCTCCTCGCCGTCAAAAGAGTTTTTAAGTCCGAAATGTAGCCACACATCTGCCTTTAGACCTGTGCCTTCACCGCGTCTGCCGTGGCCCTCACATGACCAGATGTCGTTACGTGAGACGGGTGGTCACACGAGACTAACGGGGTTAGAGCTTCAAACATCCACGGCCCAAATTTAATATCACAAACTTTTCTGTTTTAATATCATTATAAATGAATGATAAAGTAATTGATTAATGAGTTCATCACACAGTCACTATCTTAGCGTTTGAGGGACCATTGTGGAACAGTTATGTAAAATATCTTTGCCAAAAGCAGTTGTAAAATGAATTGCCACAGGGCTGAACAAGCCACCGTAGATGATCACCACTACAGTGCACATGTCCATCAGACCCTGTGTAGATATCATTTCATATGAAATACTGGAAATATATTCAGATATGACTGGAATTTTTTTAAGTTATGTAACTCATCTAACCGATCAGTATTAAGTACAGCTCGTACACAAACATTTAATAAATGGTTTATAACACACTATAACGTAGTTGTAAACGGATATAAAGACATTAAGTCAAAAATATTCATAGTCGTAACGGCTCCTATGAAAACATTTTATATTATTCCAGCTGTATTTTACTGTGTTGTTAATTATCTGTTTATACAGGAGGAGATAGAGTTGTGAACAAATACTTTATACATACATATACAGAAAACACAACTACATCATAGTGTGTTATAAACCATCTATTACATGTTTATATGCAAATATTTTATTTTAAAGTCGCCTTGTTTTTTTTTACTTTTGAGACAAAGAAAGAAACTTGAACATGTTCATTTCTGGATTCCAGAAACTGTGACAGACATTTTTCAATATTTCCTGACAATTTATGGACCTAACAATCAATACTGAAAATCATCATGATCAATACATTATTTTACATTTTCTTTTACATTTCAGAAAAAGTTTAGAGTTTATTTCTATTGGCTAAACCTTGTTCATTAATGTTTTGATTGCCTTTTGTTCTTTTTTTAAAAATCAATTTCCAGTTGCACTATCTGTATTACACTGGTCTCAGTAGAAGCACAAATATTGAACTCCATTTCTGCACATTGGTATTTAACCTTCAAATGTGGAAGTATGTTTATCTTCTGAGAGAGTGCCATCAACTCTGAAATGCCAAAACAAGGAAACGTTCTTAAATCTCTAGATATGTAAAGAAATGTGGAAGGTCACTGGCTGCTGATTATTAACACTGGATTTATACACTTGAGGTTTTGTGCCAAAGACTTTAAGTTACAATTGTTTTTGTATTTAAATGTATTGTCCTGTTTTTTTTCATATTTCGAACTTTTTTTTTATTTTTATTTAAAAGTTGTCACATTTGTTTAAGACAGAATATCTGCTCAGGATGTTTAATTTGAGTTAATTTGAAACTATTTTAAGTTTTAACATGTAATAGACGATGCCTTCTTTTAGCGCACTGCTACAGATTACAAAACATAAAAAACTGAGTGAATCACTTTGGGCGTTATTTGTTTTCTTTTTTTGGTGCCAAAGCGTTATCAAAGCTTTAATTCAAATCAATGTTCTGACAAATTAATCATAACACAAAACAATAAGGCTCATAGTAAAATTATTGTGAAATATGCAACACAAATAAATCATCACTGCTAATGTTAATACTTTAACCCCAAATTAGATTTCAATGTTTAATTCAAGCAGGCATGTTTGTGACCAGACTGTTTGGGTTCGGTTCGACCTTCACGGCCCCAATGATGCCGCCCTTGATTTGGCGTTGCACTGCTACTATATGTTCAGCTGGTTGGACAGTTGCATGAATAAGTAGGTGTACAGGTGTTCCTAATAAAGTGTGTTGAGCATATATATTTAGGTTCTGCAGACTGCCAGGTTGAGGTTAAATATTAAACCCAATCATGTCATTTCACTTCAGAGGGACATTCTGTTTGTGCAGTAGACAAACGGCACAGAGTAAAGTTTTGTTTATTGTGAAGCAGTGATGTAATCTGATTACATTATCGTTAGTGATCAGTGTCTCCAAAGCCAAGGCTGCTCACCTGCCAACAGCCATGAACTAACATTACCAACAATGGAACTGTGACCAGAACTGATTCATCATTTCCTCATTGTTTTTCCTGACCATGACACTCGGTTCCTCGTGTCTCACAATGAAGTTTTGATTTGTATCTTTGCCCTCCTGCAGAACAGGTGTAACTGAGTCAGGTGTGTGGTTAGCTTGAAGACACTTCCTTGGGTTGAAGTCAGGCCTATGTGATGGCCACTGAAATACCTTGATTTTGTTGTCCTTCCTTTGGAAGTATTCTTGGGGTCATTGTCCATTTGGAAGAACCATTTTAAACCAAGCTTTAACTTCCTGGCTCATGTTTTGAGATGTTGCTTCAATATATCAACATCTGTTTTGTGAAGTGTGCCAGTCCCCTAAAAATTCAGTCTTTTCTTTTTTTAATTAGATTGTTATAATGCAGCACTGTCTACTGCCAGTCTTAAATCACTCATTAAACCCAATCATGTCATTCAGATTATAAGTAATATGTGCAGATGACATAAGTTATGCTTTTTTTGTGAAGCAGCTTTGGGAACTGATAAGTCTGTTTCCTCATATTTCTGGCACTGTGAGAGACGGTGTTGATTTCTTTGTAAGATGTGGTGTCAACTTGGTTTTCCTGTTTTGGGGAATGGGAAAATATTCACAGAACAATACAACACATTTAATCAAGGCTTCAAGCCCCAGACAACTTAGTGTCAAATCTTAAAAAAGTGTTTACACATATGTGAACATACAGGGACATAATGCTAATCCTATCCTATATACTCTTCCTCTCTCATCTCCATCACCGTCCCTCTTTCTTTCTCTGTCTCATCTTGTTTTGAATCACCTTCCTTCCAAAGCTGAACTTTGATTGATGCATTTTCGTCTGTGAAGAGGATAATGACATGGCCAACTGATGTTTACATGTAAATGTTACCAGCCTCTGTTTGGACAATCATAAAATGAAAGTAAAAATATACAAGGTACCTCGTGGTAAACTGCATTTCAACCCTTTACACAACTGAATTGAAAGAAAAGCATTTAAACTGAAAATACCAGAGTAGCAAAAAAAATGCTCTTGTATTTTAATTAAGAAAATAAATTCACATAAATTTGCATTGATATGAATTGAATGTATACATTTTTATTCAGCCAATTAGCGACCCAATAAAAAAGGTGCAGTGACCCATTTTGGGAAAGACATATTTAGGGAAGGTTCAGAAAATTCAGCTCATAAATGCAAGTGGAAACACAAGCACAGGTGTAGTGCTGCCAGAGCGCACCAGAACAACGCTCCGCCACTTTTATTCTCCAAGCGATGAAATAAAATATGCACAGTTGGAAAAATCCGGTGAAATTTATCTACATTTTTAAGCACTTAAAGATCCGATCATCACTAAAGGTTATATCATGAAAGAGCTAATAAAAACAAATGTAATGGTTAAAGTTGTCATTTGACATTTAAGATGTATTGATTGATTTCCAAACGTCAGTCTTGCATTGAGTATCAAGCACGAAAACATTCCACCTTAAAAGATGCTGGAAGCTGCCAGTTTCTTTATCTGTGATGCTTTTACACAGAAACATGACAGTCAGTAAGCTAAACCATGCAAACAGTACTACACCTCTGCACACAAGCTAATGTTCAAAGTTTTACAGCATGTAATGTTTTAAAAAGCATCTGTATTAAAATACCATGCCAACAAGAACCTGTGTTCTAATTGGTGCATGGACATATGACGTCACCTCTTTCCAGGTGAGGCCAGGAACACGCTGGATGCGTCGTGGTTGTGCAACGTCTTGGTTCTACATTTTGGCGCCCATGTTATCGGGTTAGAGCGCGCGCACTGCCTGAGTGAGACGCGCGTCTCTCGTCTTGTTGCGTGATCAACAGATTCGGTTTCTCGCCTACATTACTCGCGTGATGTGATATACGCAGCGCAGGCAGTGTGTTCCAGGCAAAAGCCACGCCCACTTTAAACCAGCGGGAAGAACAAAGAAAAAAAGAAACAGAAATCTCTAATGTGAAATAAACAAAACTGTTCTAACTGGCAGATAATCTGTTCATGTTGGATCCAACTGATCAGAGTGAAAAGCTGTTTGATTAACAGGTGTTCAGGGTCAGACAATATCTGATCGTGCTTGTTGAACTAAGCAGCTGCTTTAAAAATGTGTGCACGTCCCTGACATCCATCTACACGCCAGAAAATACAGGTATGTGACTGTTCTGGTTCAAGCTACTGCATCTACAAATGATTCCACCTCCTTGGTCTACACGCCTCTTTTCGCTCTGCTTTATAAAGACCACACAGGTTTGCAGAAGACAGAGTTGGACTGTGTGAACGTCCAGTGTGAGAATGAAGATCACTGTGTGTTTCCTGCTGTTGCTGCTGGTCGTCTCCGTCTCCACGGGTCAGCCTAAGACGAAGACACTCCAACAGCCCTTTCCACAGGACGTCCGCACTGTGCTGAGAGAGATGACCGCCTCACTGGCCGTACTGAAGGTGGAGGTGACGTCCTTACAGGAAGTGAATCAAGGTAGAGTATTATCTCAGGTAGTGACAGAAGTAACAGCACCAGGGAAACTTCACTAGGATCCACTGTTGTTTTATCTATCTTATGCCAAAGCAGTTCATATCCAAAACAATGGAAATATAATTAAGTAACCCAACATTTTGGATTTTGTTTGCTTAAATTTTACAAATACATTCAAGCAGAAAAATCTCACTCAGTTATTTGTGCTCTTTCTTCAGCATCTGCAGCGAAGCTGAAAGAGCTGGAGAAGCAGGAGGCTGTGGTGGCGCAGCAGGAGGCTGAGATCAAAATGCTGAAGAAAAATCTGGAAGGTATTACGTCGAAATCATCATTACTCTGATCTTTTAGACAGAAAATGACAACACTATCACTATTTCATAACAATATAGATATCTGGTGCTGAAACCAAATGCTGCCGTATCTGCAATCATTTTATTTCCCCTTCATCAGCTGAAGATCAACAGAACGTGTTTCTTGGAGAAAATGTGTGATTGCTGTCAGCTGCTGCTAGATCTGAGATCTGAGGAACACGTTTCATTTTTACACAATTCAATCACTTACAGCGCCACCTGGTGGCCAAACACTTTACAGTCTTTGAAGATTATTGCATTTACACACAGTCCTGTGCTAACAGAGGTTTTCTGACCTAGAAATTAGGGCCTGACCTCCGACTGTTGCGATGAGCCTGTTGTATTTTATTTGTTTGTATTTTCCTTGTTTATAAAAAAAGACACAGAATAATGGTTTCATTGTGAACACCAAAGACAGTTTAACATAATCACAAGGCTTTCTCTCTCTCAGCCCAACAGGTGGCTTTCTCAGCCTCTCTGTTGGCTGATGGCGCGCAAACTATCGGACCCTTCAACAAACACACCACTCTGATCTTCAAACACGTCCTGACAAACATTGGAGGTGCCTACGATCCAAACACAGGTACTGACCTCTGAAATATCCAAGTGACAGTTCAGGTTATTAAGCTTTGGGTTGTGCAAGGGACTGATCTATTGTCAGTGTCTCACCTGCAGCAGATTCAGATCAGGGCGCTCCCAGTTTGGAGAAGCAGCAGGAGCACCGGTACAGAAGCTGAGCAATGTGTAGGGATGGGTACTACTACTCTTACCGATACTGCTTATCGGTCCGGTACTTAAACGGAAAGAAAACGTTTATCTAGCAGAGAAAAAAAAAGAAAAGTGACTGCTCCAGTACCGATAGCAGAACCGTTGAGGTTGGAGCTTATTGATACGGCGGTTTTGAATAATGTAGTTCAGTTCACAAGTAGTTTGTGAACCACTGAACTACCGTATTCCTACGCACAACACTACTATGCAAAAGCGCAACTACAGCATGCGCAGGAATACGGTAGCGCTGAGCTACTGCTGGTAATACTCTCACTGTGGATTACTACCTCGCTCAACCCCACGTCAAAGAACCCGAACTGTCACTTTGATAGCAAATGTCCCTTTCCTGCTTTGTTCACGTCACTGTGATTGACAGATGTCGCAACAGCTGACTGACAGAAACACGTGTCCCACAGGTGTGTTCACTGCACCGGTGAGAGGAGCGTACCACTTTGAGTGGCACATAGGTGTGCATGCATCCAATACAGCCGCTGTGTTGGTCAAGAACACAAACCACATTTTTGCAGTAGCTGAGCACCAGGGATCCGGTTACGGGAGTTCTTCTCAATGCGCTAATCTGCGTCTGGAGGCTGGAGATGTCGTGTTTGTGCGTTTGTGGCACGGTGCAAAGGTATTTGACAATATGAATCGCCATACCACCTTCAGTGGTCATCTGCTTTTCACCATGTGAGAGGGAAACACTCCCTCCTTTTCTTCACTATATGTTTTTTATCTGAATCTGCATGAAAATCATAGAAAAATAATGGTTATACTGTATTTCTTTATTTTCTTATCAAAGTTTAAAGTGATTACATTTTCTGATTGTCATTTGAATTAAAGGATAAACACTTTATTGCAGTACTATCTTTGGATATTTCTTTATTTTTATAATGAGAATAAGAAACAGAGAAAGGTAAAGTGATGTACTTGTAATTGTGCATGTGCTGCTAGGACCCTGCGTTGTGTTTCTTGGTGTGTGTGGTGGGGGTGTCGTACGGGGAGAAGGAAGCGCTGGACTCAGTAGTTATAGATTGTGGCTGAGACCCAGTGGCATGTTTTAGTTCACAATGACGTCGGGGGTCAGAAGTCCAGGTCTGGGCCAGAATATGAGTCTGGACCTCTTCACCAACACTTAACTTCCAACACAGCTGCACATCTCCTGGAGTCCCAAAGAGTTTCAAAGAATTCACTGGATATGGTCAGAGATCATTGCAACAGAGTTTACTCTTACACAAAAGATAAAGAGTATACTTTAATAATGCTGGGTTACATGATGAATAAAAGTTTACTACAATATGACTGCTGGCTCCTTGTGTAGAAAACACTTTGGGCACTGAAATACAGAAATGGGGCTAAATAATCAAATCAAATGAAACACTGAAAATAAATTACTTAAAATAATGAAATAAAATAACATCAACAATATTAACATACAGTTGGCGTCCCGCACAGATCGCATCTCAAAGCTATGGTGCCCCATAGAGGAAAAATTCAGCAGGAAATAAAGGGGCGCAACTACGACACCCAGTGGATTAACTCGGCTACTGCCCTTCATACTGAGAGCAAGATTATCAGTTAAACCACATTTACTCCTGTAAGTCTATTTTTAGTTTATTTTCAGAAAACTGAAAAATGCTAAAATCACATTACATCACAAAAATGAATCTATTCGCAGTGAAGCTTTGTACTGAGGCTGGATTCACTCGACCAATGACGTGTGAAGCTTCGTTTCCACACACTCCCGCGTGACTGCGTCGAAATCTGGTTTCACAAACGTGCGAAACACAGCAAGACTTTGTAGGTTGAGGTGTGTAACTCCAACAATTCTTACTTTATTCATTATACTACAGACAAGTGCAAGTGTGTGTACACTCCTCACTTTATTCACTTCCTCTGAGTCTAAATGTCTAAATCCACAATGTGAGATGTTATCTTTATTGTTTTTCAGTTTCCTGGTTTATGCAACAGAACATGTTTATCTAGTTATGTATCAATTTACATATTTATTAATGCATTCATGTATTCATCAATCAATTCAATCATTTTGTTTCAAGGAGATTCATGTGTTGGTTTGTTGTGAAATATTTTTGCATCACAGCGCTTTTCCTCACTTTGACCAGCAGAGGTCTCCATTGAGATCTGATTTAAAAAGCTTCGAGTAATGAACCCGTTTTCCATCCAACTGTGTTTCACTGGTTCATAAAACCTCATTACCAAAAACACAGACATGAAATCCACTGATAGCAGCCTGTACGTCCACGTGTACATAACAAACAGGACCAGGAAATAGCTGACTCAGTTAATTATTAATGATTTTCCAAACTGCCCACAAACCTGCTCCCTATCACCAGCCCATCTTCACTCGGACTTGTTTGACTTTCGGACTGATTCCTCAGTATGTTGGTGTCGATCGATCAGACACAATCAGTGACGGCCTGAAAAGCAGCTCGGCACAGGGAGAAATTCACAGCACAAAGACGTGTCTGGAGCAATGTCCACAGAGACTCTGAGGGCTGTTCCATAGTTCAATATATTGTCTTCTGAATATAACAGAGTTAGAAATCTCTAATGTGAAATGAACAGAAACATGTCATTTTTAGCAGATAATCTTCTGTTCATGTTGGATCCAATCGATCAGAGTGAAAAGCTGTTTGATTAACAGGTGTTCAGGGTCAGAAAATATCTGATCGTGCTTGTTGAACTAAGCAGCTGCTTTGAAAAACGCGTGCACGTCCCTGACATCCGTCTACACGCCTCTTTTTTCTCTGCTACATAAAGATCACACAGGTTTGCAGAAGACAGAGTTGGACTGTGTGAACGTCCAGTGTGAGAATGAAGATCACTGTGTGTTTCCTGCCGTTGCTGCTGCTCTGCTCCGTCTCCACGGGTCAGCATGACACGGAGACACAGGACGTCCACACTGTGCTGAGAGAGATGACCGCCTCATTGGCTCAACTGAAGGTGGAGGTGACGTCCTTACAGAAAGAGAATCAAGGTAGAGTATCATGTCAGGTAGTGATGTAGCGGCACCAGGAAAACTTCACTAGGAGCCACTGTTACAAAAATATCTCATGGCATAATAGACCTACTGTTGTCAAACCATTGATGATGATATGAAACGAATAGCTGATTTTGCAGCGCGGCCATGACATTATTGAGCTGACACTTCACTGAGCCAAAGTCTAAACAAAGGTTTTAGGTTTACTTGATTAATACAAAATGTAAAGTTCCTTACGAATGTATGCACATATATATCCCTATGGAGAAGACCTCAACATGCACAGCCCCCACCCACCACCATCACAAATCTTCCCCCACCTGCCAAACCCCACTTTACCCCCACGGTTATTTGTGTTCTTTTGTCAGCATATGCAGCAAGGCTCAAAGAACTGGAGAGGCAGGAGACTGTGGTGGAGAGGCACGAGACTGAGATCAACAAACTGAAGCAAAATCTGGAAGGTATGTCAGCATCATTGTTAGTCTTATCTTTTAGTTAGAAAATAACTTATAAGTCATTGTTTCATGATAATAAAGCTATTATCTGGTGCTGAGAACCATCCCAAAGTCCCACAATCCCACCCCTGATTCCTGGGTGACCTCCTAGCTTGAAAAGATGTGCTGGCGTTGTGGATTCACTCGACACTTTCTGGTTTCTGGTCGAGTTTTACGCGTCCGTTTTTTCTACAACTAGCCGAGCAAGTGGTCAGTAGAAGAAAGAAGTGATGTAGCTGCTACAGCGAGTGGTGAGCGCCATCTGTTGGCCAAAACAAACACAACGCCCCGTCTGAACGTCTGCCCCTCTGCTCTGCTGCCCGGTCCAAGCCGGGCCGCCCAACACAGGGACGTTTGGTCGCCTTGTTTATCTGTCAAGCAATAAATGTTCCTGTCGTCACACCACTGTATTTGATTTTTGGAGAGGGTGAGACTCAAAATAAGCAATTTAGAAGATAGTAAAAAAAACTCAGAATAATGATATTATTGTTAATACCAAACAGCTTAAGATAATGACACAACTCTCTCTCAGCCCAACAGGTGGCTTTCTCAGCCTCTCTGGTGGCTGAAGGTGAGGCGACTATCGGACCCTTCGACAAACACACCACTCTGATCTTCAAACACGTCATGACAAACATTGGAAGTGGCTACGATCCAAACACAGGTACTGACCTCTGAAACATTAACAGTAAATGTCCCTTTCCTGCTTTGTTCACGTCACTGTGATTGACAGATGTCGCAACAGCTGACTGACAGAAACACGTGTCCCACAGGTGTGTTCACTGCACCGGTGAGAGGAGCGTACCACTTTGAGTGGCACATAGGTGTGCATGCATCCAATACAGCCGCTGTGTTGGTCAAGAACACAAACCACATTTTTGCAGCATATGAGCAGCAGGCGTCTCATTTCGGGAGTTCTTCTCAAGGCGCTAATCTGCTTCTGGAGGCTGGAGATGTCGTGTTTGTGCGTTTGTGGGTGAACAGTAAGACATATGACAACACCAATCGCCATACCACCTTCAGTGGTCACCTGCTTTTCACCATGTGAGCGGGAAACACTCCCTCCTTTTCTTCACTCGCTCGATGACAGACAACAACAGTTTTACTGCAGCCTTTTTTTCTCTTTTCAAAGTTTGAGGAGATTCATTGTTCTGATTCTGTCATTTGAATTAAAGCACAAACATATTATTGCAATATTATCTGTGGGTTGTTTATTCATTATTTTTGTTTCAAATTTAAATTACATTATAAACAAATTCAATCGCACTGTCACAGTCACGGGAGTAAGAAACAGAAAGTTGGAGAGATGCAGTGAGAGGACTGGACCTTTCTGTGTTTGTTTCATGAAGCAAGATCAGCAGTTAAACCAGGTTTACTTCTGTTAGTCGGGTTCATTTTGAGAAAATTAATTTTCATAAAGTTGGTTTAAATAAGTCTGACCTGATCCTGGACAGTTCCTCTGAAGGTGACGGTTACCAACTGTTAGATGCCCCTTCAGCCCTGAGGTCAGTGGTAATTAAATCCTTTCATTAAATCCATATAAACATGAATTTGAACCAATGACATGTTTGAAAAGTGCGTTACTAAAATTGGGTCAAATATGATGAATTTTTCATGTGGTTTATACCTGTGAGTGATGTCAATGGTGTTTTTCATGCAGCACCACCACTATCAAGTCCCAAATAAAGCCCCATTCAGACAGGAGGGCCTACGGGGAGGGGGGGTAATATCTTCAGACGTTTAACTTATTGTTCTGGGTGATAGTTTAACCACAGGAGATGGTCTACAATACGCTGTACTGACCGAACCCTCCTCAGAGCGGCACTACAGAGCTGAAGGGAAGTCGAAGATACTTGAATCACCAGCTGTGCCGAACTTACTGTTGCGTCACAAAGCGCGAGAATCTACCACCTGAAGATGCTTATTATACTTTTATCCATGGTGACAGTGAATGCCAGATGCAAACAGTCGCCCATCAGGCCACAGGCTGCACTGCAGTCAGTGCACAGCACCTGGTGCTAAAACAGATCTTGGCCATAGCAGCAACAGTTATCCACTGCATCACTTCCTCTTTAAAAGTAAAAACACAAGAATGTTTGCTTTCAGCAGCAATGCTTAGTTTCGAGCTGAGAGTTTTTATTCTGAAAAGTTCTGACAGGAAGTTCCAAAGGTTCTGTTGCTTGCTTGACAGACCTCTGAAATAGCCAAAAAAAATATCACAATTCAGTAAATCAGTCAAACGAACGTGTGACTGGGCCACAGAACCTCACATGAGCAGTAACAAAGTAAATTCCAGTTGCATTTTTATAAATCAATTTCTTAAATTAGCCTTTGCTTATGCTCCTGCCAGATATCTAATGCATTAGGAAACAACTGGCCCAAGGCCGAACTTACTCGCTGACCCTGCTTTGGACTGTGTTTTGCAGTTACCGGATTTGTTTGACTTTCGGACTGATTCCTCAGTTAAACCCCTTTTTTGTCCCTTTTTTGTCTGACGCAGGAAGTAAACTACTGTTGACAGACCTTGATGATGTTTATTTGTTCAACTGGACTGTGTTTGCTTTAGGGTTCATGCCTGTCTCCAGACGTTACATATCCAGTCTATCAAACCTGACTCCGAAGAGAACAGCAGAACCTACCTGCAGCTGACATTACAACAGCCCATTGGATAAAATACAGCGTCTCACTCCTGATGGCTTTCATTTCTTGTTTGGTTCCAAAATAAAACTACAGTGTATGTTGGTGTCGATCGATCAGACACAATCAGTGACGGCCTGAAAAGCAGCTCGGCACAGGGAGAAATTCACAGCACAAAGACGTGTCTGGAGCAATGTCCACAGAGACTCTGAGGGCTGTTCCATAGTTCAATATATTGTCTTCTGAATATAACAGAGTTAGAAATCTCTAATGTGAAATGAACAGAAACATGTCATTTTTAGCAGATCATTTTATGTTCCTGTTGGATCCAATCGATCAGAGTGAAAAGCTGTTTGATTAACAGGTGTTCAGGGTCAGAAAATATCTGATCGTGCTTGTTGAACTAAGCAGCTGCTTTGAAAAACGCGTGCACGTCCCTGACATCCGTCTACACGCCTCTTTTTTCTCTGCTACATAAAGATCACACAGGTTTGCAGAAGACAGAGTTGGACTGTGTGAACGTCCAGTGTGAGAATGAAGATCACTGTGTGTTTCCTGCCGTTGCTGCTGCTCTGCTCCGTCTCCACGGGTCAGCATGAAACCGTTTCACTGAACAGCCACGCTCTGCTGAAAGAGTTGATTCTCTCCGTGGACCAACTGCAGAAGGACATGGCATCCTTACAAAACAAGGTTCAAGGTAGAGTATTATATCAGGTAGCGATGTTCAGGAACATGCAAAGTGATGGATATAAGAGGTGAACCCAACATGTTTACTGACTTTAATTTTACAAACATAGTCGAGCAATTTCCAAAATCATAGTTGGTGCAGAGAAATCACACTCTCAGAGTTACCTGTTCTCAGATATTCTGAAAGATATTCTCTGGTGCTGAAACCAAATACTTGGAGAACGTGTGGTTGCTGTCAGCTGCTTCTGCTGCTGAGATTTACAGCAAGATATTTAATTTTTACAAAATGTAGTCACTCACAGCGCCCCCCTGTGGCCAAACACTTTACAGTCTTTGAAGATGCTGCACTCACACAAGCTCCTGTGCTGATAAGACTATTTCTTACACAGTGATTTTAAATTATATTTGTACTGTAGCACCACCTACTGGTGAAAGGCCATTATCTTTGCTCAGTTATGAATATTTATGCTTAGTCAGTCAATGGGGAATGTATGATTCTGCACAAATCAGAACTGGATGTTTTTAAATGGGAACAGTAGATCATTAGTGTAACTAATCTAGGAATAACAATTTTAGTTGCTATCTGACTTAATGAGTTAATGAGACTGTGAGCTCTAGAAAATTGATTGACTGTAAAGTTTGCAACCACAGCAGTTTTCATAGATAGTACAGAAACACATAGAAAAATGAAATCATTGTTATATCCATGGACAGTTTTAAATAATGAAATAACTCTCTCTCTCAGCCCAGCAGGTGGCTTTCTCAGCCTCTCTGTTGTCTGATGGCTTGAAAGCTATCGGACCCTTCAACACACACACTGCTCTGGTCTTCAAACACGTCCTGACAAACATTGGAGGTGCCTACGATCCAAACACAGGTACTGACCTCTGAAATATTAACGTGATAGTTCAGGTGATTTGACGTGGGGTAGATTCAGATCAGTGCGCTCCCAGTTTGGAGAAGCAGCAGGAGCACCGGCACAGAAGCTGAACAATGTGTTGTTGTGGACGGAGTCGTCCGCAAGTATGTGTTTAAGCCTTAACCTTTCCTGCTATGTTGAAGTCATTGTGATTGACAGATGTTGCAACAGCTGACTGACAGAAACACGTGTCCCACAGGTGTGTTCACTGCACCGGTGAGAGGAGCGTACCACTTTGAGTGGCACATAGGTGTGCATGCATCCAATACAGCCGCTGTGTTGGTCAAGAACACAAACCACATTTTTACAGCAGTTGAGCAGCAGGCGTCGGGTTACGGGAGTTCTTCTCAAGGTGCTGTACTGCGTCTGGAGGCTGGAGACGTCGTTAGTTTGCATCTGTGGGCGAACAATACGATATATGACAATCAGAATCACGTTAGTACCTTCAGTGGTCATCTGCTTTTCACCGTGTGAGAGGGAAACACTCCCTCTTTTTATTCACAATATGAAAATGAAGATGTTTTTCATCTGGATCTTGATCTGTATGAAAATGATAGACAATAATGATTACGCTGTATCTTAAGTCTAAAGTGTCTCTGTCACTTGAATTAAAGGATGAACATATTATTGCAATACAACATGTGGAGATTTCTTTGTTTTGGTTCAAATAACAATAAAAACAGGAAATCAAATGCATTGTCACAGTAGTATGAGATGAGAATTAGAAACAGGAAGTAGAAGAATGATGTATTTAAAGACTGGAGCTTCTGTGTTTGTTTCATGAAGCAGGATTAGCAGTTAAACCAGGTTTACTTCTGTGAGTCAGGTTTATCTTAAGAAAATTCAGTTTAATGCTCTAGGTATACCATCCCATCTCTACTTTATATAATGGTGTCCATCTATCAGATTAGTGAAAATATTTCTATTTACATGGAAGAATTCACTTAAAAATACAAGGACTCGTCTGAAGCCATGTCCACGTGAAAACAGGCGGCCATTTTGGCAGTAGCAATTACTGGGGTGGGGGTGAAAAATGTCCCCAAGAGACATAAATCCCATCTGAATGGGGCTGAAGTCTGTTTGGATTTCTGTTAATGAAATGTGCACCAGTTCGTTAGTAAGAGGTCTAATCAGGCTTTCAGACAGAATGTAATTTGCGCTGCGCTCGCCACTTGATTCGCCGTTCGAACACTCGGGGGAGTCGCATGGGACAAAACAAACATAGGCAGAGTTTCTCAAAACTTGTAGCGGGACAGGTCACTGTGAAGCAGGAAGCTCCGAGTCTATCGACGCCAGCAACAAAGATTTATCTTTCCAGTGCTAAGGAACGGGGGTTAGCATTAGCCCGCTAATAACAAGCAGAAGGGAAGCAGCAAGGTGGGTGACCTCAGGTACAGAGAGCAGCCTGGGCAAGGAGCTCTGTTTCCTCAGCAACCGCTTCTAAGTCTGCTTTCCGTTTACTCTCTGTGCCTGGCTGGATGCCTCGCTTCTATTTGCTGCCTGGTTGTTGCCATTAATACTGAAATAATGGGTTTCAGAGGGAAGTTGCTTCATTCTGTCTGAAAGCCCCATAACAGATATAATTTATTCTTTTAACTCCACTGCATTTATTTAACAGCTTTGCAGATTCAAACCTTCATCCTACCTTACTTCAGTAAAATGACAAACGTAACAGAGGATTTCTGCACTGTGATTTTCCTACTTTTACCTCCTATTCTCTCCCCCTGATAAATGCAACATATGAATTACAACAACACGTACACAGGAAAACAAAGGTAAAAGTAAAACAAAACTAAATGAATAATTACAAAAGAATAACAGACAGAGAACTCAAATGAATATGCAGTTGCACTGAGGTCATCAACAGCCCGATATCTGAGGGCAGAACACATCAGAAAGGTACAGGAGAGGTTTGATGGACTGGTCACGATACTGAGAAACACTTCCTCCTCCGTCATGAACAGTCTGTCATGGCGACGCTCCGTCACGGTTAGTTGGGTTTCCTCTCTAAGTGACAATCAGGCTGCAACAAGAGCTCTGTCAGCACAAATATGACACCCATTAAGCTCTCTTTGAATGCTGTGTGTGTGTGTGTTGGTGTAGTGAGTTTAAGTAATAGTTGTGGTTATTTGACGTGGGCTTGTTTGAGGTAGTTATCTGCACCAGTTCACCTGCAGTAGATTCGGGTCAGCTCCCAGTTTAGAGAAGCAACAGGATGCGTTTTAGCCACGTTTTCTTGAGTATTTTCTCTCTTTATCTGCCGTCAAACAGCCCTTTACTTTGAAACTACAGTTTGCGAATCATTGAACCATCGTATACCTACACATAAGCGCCACCACGCCAAGTCGGACAGAGCTAAGCGTAGTTGCGCTTGTTCATAGGAATATGATGAGTTCAATGCCTGAAAAAATGTAGTTCCAAAAGAAAAGGGCTGTTTGACGGAAGATAAAGTCGTGAAAATATTCAGAATAAAGTGACACTTCAACTGATATTAGCTTTTTTTTCTGTGAGCATTTGTTTAAGTGGCTAAAATGAGTTTTCTTGCTGTCCCCGTCCACAGCAGCACGTCGCTCAGCTTCTGTAGCCGTGCTGCTGCTGCTCGTCTGAACTGAGAGCACGCTGATCCCAAACCACTGCAGCTCAGACTATTGATTAGTACCTCACACAACCCAACGTCAAATTACAGGATGGACGAGACCAAACACTATTAAAAAGATGGAAAAATGAGTGTGAGAATGACGTGAACGCACTCGGAAAATAATCCTTCAGCTTTGTTAAAATGACAAAAGAGTTTTAATGTCTAAAACTTTGTGCTGTTGTGGAGCCGATGGATGTGACAGACCGAATGAAACTGACCATTACCAGGATTAAAATCATGTATTTCTCTGCGATTGAGCATTGATCGAAACATTTGGGATAACGTGAGAACATAGGTCTAGTTGTTTTTAGTCATTTTAAATGCACATTTTATTTTGAATATGCACTTAAAAACAAGTGGATGGAAACCTGTCTGAACTAATCTGAGGTCACTGTGTCGTACTTGTGCTTTTCTTTAGTATTTCCATTTGATTCTTGTTTTATACTTTAACAGCATTTAGCATTTATCGGACGTCTTTACTTACTTTACTTTGTGCTGCTGGGCTCAGCAGCGGCTGATTGATGATCGGTATTTGTCAGTAAGAGGTGATCAGATCACGGCGGCTCATTAGCTCTGTTTGTTTTACTAAGTGTTGTAGCCAGTCAATCAGAACTAAACTGAGCCACTTCATATGTGCTGACTGGCAGGTTATCTGTTTTCCACACACACACACCTGAAACCGACTGATTGATTATATTTGGAGGACTTGGTTTTTGTCGACGGGCCGAGTCCCCGCAACGTGACAAACGGGTTGATGTCCCCGTGAGGGCTGTGGGCGTGGAGGAGGAGGCGTGGAGTATAAATGGAGGCGAGACCCTCTGTTCTGCCTCACATCAACCTGCTCTCAGCTGCCACTGCTCCTCCTCTTCATCACAGACTCACCTCCTCCTCCTCCTCCTCCTCCACCAACTCTACAGGTAAGCTACCACTCCTCCTCCATCACCTCCTCTTTCTCCTCCTTTGGCTTTACAGATGACCTCCACTTCTCTTCCTTCTGTATCTTCTCCTCCGTCAGCTCCAGGTGAGCTATTCTCCTCATCCCCCAACTTCACCTCCTCCTCTACATCTCCTCTCCTTGTTCTTTCCCTCCTTCCTCTCTCCATATCTTCATCAGTTTTTATTACAGACTGATAAACTTGACAAAGCTAACTCCTCATTCATGTAAAAGATGAATATCAGCTGACATATTGTTCCTGGATTTTCTTTTAACTTTTGGCATTGACCTGAATAATCCCGGATCCGTCAGGTTGTGTTTTTAAGTCGTAGTATCTAGAGATAAAATCGTACAGGTGTGTGTCCGGCTCTCCTCCAGCATGGCGGCGCTGTGGCTCCAGTCTGTCTCTCTGCTGGTCTTACTGATCGTATCGTGGCCGGGCTCCCAGGCCGTCGCCCCCCCGCAGCACCTTTGCGGCTCGCACCTGGTCGACGCCCTGTACCTGGTCTGTGGGGACAGAGGCTTCTTCTACAACCCCAAGAGAGACGTCGACCCTCTGCTGGGTGAGACCACCGACTCACACGGCACCAATAAAACAAACGGCAGAGGCAGAAGTTAAGATAATGAGTCGGTGAATGATTAGACAATAAGAAACGTTAATTTGCTGTCAGTAAGGTACAGAAACATAAACATAAAACTGTGGAAATAGAACTGTTTGTACCAGGATGATGACTCTCCCTCTGAACATCTGTCCCATCAGGTTTCCTCCCTCCCAAGGCGGGTGGAGCTGCGGCGGCGGGCGGTGAAAACGAAGTGGCCGAGTTCGCCTTCAAGGACCAGATGGAGATGATGGTGAAGCGAGGCATCGTGGAGCAGTGCTGCCACAAGCCCTGCAACATCTTCGACCTGCAGAACTACTGCAACTGAACGGCTCTCCGCCCGGCTTCCTTCCCCTCCCCCACCCTCGCATCGAAAGAGCGGCAGTGCTGTCCTCTCTCTGAAACCCTGCTGACAAATGAAGTCTTCACAAATGGATGAAATTATTTTTCCTAGAAAATAAAGTTTTGTGAATTGAGAAAATATCAGGAAATTTGTTCTCTGATGTCAAGACTTTTCTTCATTGTCTTCAATTTGATTCGCTAAAGTCAAACTTAGGCTATTAACCACATTCAAAGTTGCAATCCTTAAGATTTGCGTCCTGGTTGGTTTGGTGACACTATGGTTACTATGGTAAAAGCAAGTGTGGTTTAAAACTACAGCAAACTGTCTGAGCAGCTACGTTGCCAGAAAACCAACAGAAGAGCAGCTGATCTTTTTACAGTGAAGCTTAACAAACTGTTGTTTTAATAAAGAAGTCAGGCAGTGATGAATAAAACCTCCTTCTGATTTCATGTTGTTTTTCACACAATGGCAGTGCACAGTGAATAACTCCAAACTTCAGTTAAATGTAAATCTTGATGTTATTCTTGGCAAATTCTTCCTTCATAAGATCAGATGCATTAGCAAAACCCCTTTTTCTCAGCAGGTAAAATTTGTTTTTTAAATAAAAGGGCTATAAAATGCCTGAAATATCTGAACGTGGTATTTAAACTGTTGTTATTGATGCAGTCCAGAGCTGCAGGCCATTATCAAAGAACATCACACGTAGCTTAGCTTATTAACAGGAAATTATTAAAAGTATAATCAAGTGACATAAAATAAACGACTCTCAACTAAAGTTATGTGTAAATGTAAATTCAGGTTAACTGCTTCTGATTGATTGTTAGATACGAATCAAACGTTACGCTGATCACTGTAACACTGAACAAATTTCTGAATGACTCAACAAAATCTTTTTTTGGAAAATAACACAATTATATATTTTAAAAAATATATGAATGTCCTTTGAATGAACTTTATTATTGATCAATACCGTAGTAGAGTACCATACTTTGGAAAAGTCAGTTATGCGATTATGATTATTATGAATCAAAATATTATAAAACAAACTTTTTTAGTAAACAGCAAATAATACATTTCCCCTATATATGTACAAATTAAAAAAGCCGTTAAAACTTAAAACATTTTATTAACATTTATTTAACATTTTAAAGCTTTAGGCTATTAAATATTTGTGTATTTTTGATTACTATTATTTTGTTTACTTGTTTATTGTTATGTATGTATGTATTTATTGCACATTGATATCCTGGTGTACTTAGACCGGTACTTTACTGTTTAAGTATAGGAATTATGATAGTGACGAGGTGTTTTCATATAGTTTCCGTAGTGTAGTGGTTATCACGTTCGCCTAACACGCGAAAGGTCCCCGGTTCGAAACCGGGCGGAAACATAATTTATGTTCCCTTGTCCATCACGTTATTACTTACTAAAACAACCAATCCACCTATATAACCATGATATCTCTTTTACGTATCCTGTTGATGCTGCTTGGGCAGACCGGATAACTGTCTGTTATAAGTGGATTACATAAATGTGAAGTAAACTGCGAAAGCGAGATTTCCGATATGTCCCTGAACGCGGCCCGTAGGGGGTGTGTGGGGGGTGAGTTTACATGTGTGTGTCCTGCTGCAGCACCTCACGGGGAGCAGTGTCCTCAGTAACTGCATGATAACGTGCTTCACCGGCCTCTCGAACCACCGGGGGAACCGGGTTGTGCTCCGGTCGACGGTAAGTGCTCGTGTTTCCCCTCCGTGCTCGTTCTGACGCCGTAAACGCGTCTTTGCGCCTGGTTTGCTCACCTAACGTTAGCTTCCCTACGAGAGGCTAACGGTCGCGTCAACGTTTGTTTCTGTGTTTTTGTTGCTTCGTGAACGGGTCAGGTTGTTTGTTTTCAGCTGAACACGTGATGACTAACTGCTGAGCTGTTTCCCGCTCCGTCCCGCACGACACGAATCATTATATGCGCAGTGTTTCGGACTTAGAGAGAGAAGTTTTGTTTGTCGCGGCCATTTTGGCGTAGAACTGAAACGTATAGAAGACGCTTCAAACTAATGCTACGTTCAAGTCCCATTGGTAAAAAAGGACATGTAAACTTTCTTATTATTATTTTTAAAGCCAAAGCTCGATGTTTTAAAATGTATATACAAATACACAAGTTCCTTCAGCCCAGTGAGTCTTCATTCGTGATTTATGTTTACAATACATGTTTGTTCTCATTCTTCACGTGCTCTCACAGGCTCCTCACTGCTCAGTTGATAACATTGACTATATTTGACTGACCTGTGGTGGTGAACACTGTATACTACATGCTATTCACCTCAGCAGCTCTCATTCTGTTACTGTTTATGGCACAGTTTAATGTATGTAAAAAAGTAAAAGAAAATCCACTTAGCTTGCCAGTGTTGCTCATTTATCGTGTATATAATGGGTTTAATAGAGTTTTATGTTTCACTGCTCACAACTCTGTAAAATATTTAGCTCCAAAATCACATACTTTTAATGGCTGCACTATCAATATTCTTGGTGTACTGTGCATCGTTTGTACTTTTCCAATATTAATTCTGACATATTTAGTGTTTTTTGGAAATGTTGGCCACTGGAATTGAAACTGGGATTTAAAAACACTTTGCTATACAACATATCAAGGTAGATAACAAGAGTGTATATTTATCTCAGCTTCATACATCTATCTGTCAACGCTTTGGGATAATTAGGGCTCAGTACCAAAACTCGGGTATCATATTGAGAGTGTAATCTACACAAGGTTTATGATAAAGTAATTAATCTTTTGCAAACAAAGCCTTATGCTATTCACACATTTTGTTCATCAAATCTGAAATTCAACAAATGTTAATCAAATTTGAATCAATTTGGCATCCAACAACCTACTTCTATTATTGTTTTTAAAATCTAAACGATTGATGGTGTGATTGTGTGGTCTAGAAAATATCAGAAAACAATGAAAATAGCCATCACAGTTCTCCACACCCCAAGGCGATGGTGAAATATTTGTTTTGTCCAACCAACATTTCAAAACCCTAATGATTTTACAATGACATAAAACAGTAAATGTTCACATTTGAAAAGCTGGAATTGACTAATTATTTACATTTTTGCTTGTTAACGTCTTAATGACGTAACATAACACATAACAATGAAATTATAATTATTGGTATTGAATGGATAACTGTTCAGTTTATTGGGTAAACATGCTGTGAAGTAATTTCACTATATTTCCGGAAAATTTAATGACTTTTGTGATACTACCATTTACTGTTTAATTGTGATAATCAAAGAGCCTGTCCCCTGGAAGGAAGCATCAGGAAACCTGAAATTCGTAAAGGGTTTAAGGTTATAAATTCTGCTGCTGTTACTAACTCACAATCTGTGTGTTGTGGTTCTACTCATAGACTGGGAAGAAGTCACAGTCATGCAGCAGCAGAAGATGTTGCCTACAGCCGCTCCAAAAGAAAATATCTGGGTTTTCTCTGCAAGGAAGTCGACTGGGAGTCTTTCTGGATCCAGTTCCTGAGATATTGTTCAGGATACAAAGTGAGTACGAGCTCAGTCTAATTCGCACCACATCTCTGGACACTCCACATGTTGACGTTTGTTTTTGGCTTATTCTGCGGAAGAGTCACCTGAATCTCATTTGCCAGGGCTCTCCACAACTGATTTGGGGTTCGGATGTCAGCATGGACAACATCGATGACCACTACATTTGGCAGCGCCGTATCCACCATGGAATTAGGTATCAGAAAGTCGCAGTCCCCTTCCCAGAGTCTGTTGACATCGGTTTGGAGTTCAATGCGGCATTGGAAAGGAAGGAAAAGTTAGATCAGAGTCTGCTGACGAACGGCGTGATGCTGGAGCTTTGTGACTTTGCCAAAACAGTGACCAAGTCTGAGAAGTATTTCCTGTTTGAAATGCTAGAGTTCAATTTTGACCTCAGCCTAGACACGGACAATGACATGCAGTTCTATGAGTATGCAACACGTGTTCACAGTAAAACAAGGCAGTTGAAGGAACAAATCAAGATGAAACCACAAAGATGGAAAGAAGTATTTACACTACCAGATCCAAACATTATAATGGCGTCCGTAGGTTCAGAGTTGCCTAGACGGTACTACCCTAAGAGAAACAAAATTGCGGATAGTTCGGTCCTTACTGACGGGAACAAAAGCAGCCAATCTTCAGAACGTCACATGACGGAGAGTAATGGGGCTGTGTGCAGTACGTTAAGTATAAGGAGAAAAGGAACGCAATTAAAACGAAGAGATGATGTTTACCCTTTCTGTAGAGAAAGCGGTGTGACTCTGGCTGTTCGACCCAATGAGACACCCGAACAGAAGCTAGACCCAAATCTGCTGACCAATGGTGTGATGCTGGAGATGCTTGATTTTTCCAGAGTGCTTTGTGGAGCACACACTCAGATAATATACGATTTGGTCAAGCAAAATTTTGGCCAGGAGTTGGATAAACTGCAGTTCCGCTTGCAATTCCACAAACTGATGGACAGAAAATATTCCTGCCTAACAGCTGAGGACAGAGACACTTTCCGCAAGGAGGCGTTTACAGTCCGGCTCAAGAAACAGGAGCAGAAGTGTAAAAAGAGACAAAACCCTGACAAACTTTACCAAGAACTGGAAACACTAATTGTGCCCGGTAAAAGACGGGAAACACTGAGGCACAGGTACACTGATGCCCAAGAAATTAATCAGGATAGTGACCTGTCATACATGTGTCCAATTGATTTTGAGACAGAAATGCTGTCAGGTGCCGAGGTCGGACCAGAAGAAATCAAGTTTGAAAGCTGTTCATCAGGAACAGCTGTAGAAACAGAGTTGGCGGTGGCACTGGATGTAAAGCAAGAAGAAGAGGAAGTTATTGTTTCCCCAGTGCAACCTCAGGCTAACGGCTTTGACTCTCGTTTGTTTAACTTTCATCCAAAGGATGAGGCAATCTCTGGTCTGTTTTCTGACGACAAAAACAAGAACATACACGTAAAAACACTTAAACAGAGGCTGTGGATGAGGCGAGCTACGCGCTCAAAACAGATCCTGAAGTCGAGCAAAGTTAATGACTTGTTTGCCCACTGCAGAGAGATCGGTTTAGACTTTAATGTCAGCTCAGGCAAGAGACAGAACTTAGATCTACATCTACTCACCAACTGGGTGTTGTTGGAGGTTTTAAAATTTGCAACTGCGATGAGGAAGAGCTTACGAAGTTTCTTATTTGACATTCTGGACAACAACTTCAACCTTGTCCTCCAAGATGAACTGCGTCAACGTAATTTTATATTTTACATGATGACAAAAGAAAGGACTCTTCAGAACCATCCTGCTAGACAGAAAACAGAGTTTCTCAGCAGTCCCTTCCAGTTCCCAGAGATTTACAACACAGTTGATGTGACCAGCAGTTTTCAAACTGAACAGGAACTTGAAACAGAGCAGCACATAAACTGGGATTCATCATTCTCAGCTACAAGCCAGCGGACAGATGCGGAGCCTCACCCATTCTGTAAAAAGTTAGGTCTCAATCTTTGGTCGACAGAAGAACATCCGGCCAGCCAGAAGCTTGATCTGAGTGACCTGACCACAGGCGCTGTGTTTGAAATATTCAGCTTTGTCCGAGAGCTGTGCGGAGCGGTCCATGAGACAGTTAATGACATCCTCGAGCACAATTTTGATCTTGATCTGCAGAGTGGTGCGACCGAGGCCTCGCAGGTGATCCAGAGATGGTACATGACACAGAAAAGCTTGATGAAAAAGCAAAACATAACGCCGAAGATAAACTGCTGGTTGAACATGGTTGTCCCACTGAATGGTCATTCACAGCTCAGTCCACAACCACCGACGAGCAACTGTCTGAAGCATCTGGACTCAGGAAGTTTAAGTCTAGGCACAGAAAGGAGGGATTGCAGTGGAAATGTGCAACAGGTGAAAAAGATCAACAGCTATCACCTCTGCAAAGAAATAGGATTGGGCCTTGATGTTGCCTCAAAACCAGAGGCCAAAACAAAACTCGATTTGAGACTGCTGACAAGAGGAGTCCTCTTTGAGATGCACCAGTATGTGGAACAAAACTGCAACCGTTACGTTCCCGCTCTGTACGAGATTCTGGAGTACAACTTTGACTTGAGCTCTCAGAGTCACCGGAAGGTGGAGTTCGCCTGGTCCATCGCCTCTCAGGTGATCGCCATGGCAGGGAAAAACGGCAGAAAGGGAGATTATCTGAAAACGGTGTTTGAACTGCCCATGGAGTTCTCAGAGTCCTCGCAGGTCGTCTGTAAAGAGGAGCCAGAGGACGGCTCCGACGAGCCAGACCTTAATGATGATGACGACATCATGTTTGTCCGAAAACTGAAGCCTGTTGACATTGAGGTAGAGGTAGAATAGAGTCATAACTCCTGTTTCCACTTTAGAAAATCAGTGTTGAGAGTAGGGCTGCAACTAACAATGATTGTTCAATTATTGTTATTTTGTCAATTGATGTATGGCTGAAACAATTAATCGATTGGTTGATCGTCAGAAAAATAATCTGCAACTGCTTTGATGATCGAGATGCCACCTTGATATGATTTGACCAATTTTTCATTATTTTTGACATTTAACAGACTAACGACCTAAAATAATGGGCAATAATCATCAGCTGCAGCCTGATGAATCTACTATGAAGTGCCTAAAAATAATTTTTTTTAAATGACAATCTTTGAAATCACAGTTTACTGAAACCCAAGGTGTGACGTATTCAGATCACGTGTTTCGTCCAACCAGGAGTCTAAAACCTAAAGCTTCAGTTTACTGTCACGTAAAACAAAAGAAAAACAATAACTCCTCACATTGTAGCAGCTGGAACCGGACTGTGTTTGGAATCGTTGCATGAAAAATAACATAACTAAATCAATTGGAAAAAAAAAAACAGTTGCGTATTTGTTTGTCAGTTGATTGATCGATTAATTGTTTCACCACTAAAAAGCTGTAAACACCTCTCTGTCTCACAGTTTCTCTGAAGGTGGGATTTTTTGCACAGTATTCAACTGCATTGATTTTGACCCGGTGTACCTAATAAACTGAAGGTGAATATCAGTATTGCTCTTGATTATCAGTCCCTACTTCTGACGGAAGAAAAGTTTCCTGGATGATGTGGGTAAACACTGTTTAAGAAATACAGCGACTGCGACTTTAAATGTGCACCTTCATAATGGTGACCGACTTGTTCAGCTGCTCGTTATAATTAATTACATAACTAATACTGAACATTTAAGATGATGTAATTTGTATTTTAATTGTTTAAATACAATACATAGAAAAAATAATGAAATGATCATTAAACAAGCCGATTGATGATTACATTTCATTTTTGATTGATGAGTAAATTAATGTTTAATTAGATCATTTTATTTTTCTTGAGGCGTTGAATTTTCGGTAATTTTCTTCCGATCATGTTCAGTGTCACAGATCATTTGTCTTCTTAAAACACGAAACAGGGAGTTCAGTCACAATGTTTCACACTGAGCAGCACGATATTAATCTGTCCATCACTCAACACATTTAACTCATGAGTAACCAAATCAGATTCTGCTTTACAGTGTTTTGAAAATCCTGATTTTTATTTGATGATTGTGCCAAAGAAACAAAGAAGCTGCAGTTTGTGTCAGTAACTGATAGACACCACTAGATGGCATCAGAGTCCAGGGCTCCATTAAAGCCTTTCTAATAGGAACTGCTCATCTGTTATTTGTCCCTGAATGACAACTGCTCCTCTAAGTTTACGAATAAATCGACTGTACACAATCATTTTTTATTTGTTGTTGTACAGGAAGTACAGCAACACCCACAGGACAGTGTCCAAAATGTTGTAAATGACTTTCTGGAACTTTCTAAGGTAAACCACATAAATCCAAATAAAGTAAAACATTTCAAAACCAATTCAAAATCTGTGGAATTTGAATATCAACATTAAGTATTCATTCATAATTCAGTATTCAGCTGCTGAGAGTTAAATTATTTGCAGTCCTCAATCCATATGATGTGGATGTTGGAGTTGAATTTCAAGCACATTTATTTAAGATTAGATCATTGTAATGTATTTGAGTGTTTACATTTTATACTTTCTGCTCCCACTACATTTCAAAGGAAAATATTGTACTTTTTACTGCATAACACGTATTTTTATTATTTATGTTGTGCTTTCGTAATTGTGAAAAGCATTGAATTTGGTTCCTTCAAAAAAAAAAAAAAAATACAGACTAAAAAAAAATATATATATATAAATATATATAAGAAGATATATTTGTGGTTTTAAGAACCAAAAACCATCTCGATGTAGTTTCACATCTCCTCTCTCAGGCTTCTCTCTGGAGCTCTAGTAACAACAGGTCTGTGAGCCAATCAGAAGAGAGGAGGCTCTGAGCCTCTCTTCTGATTGACTGACTGTTTTCTGACTCATCCAATAAAAATATAGCAGATTTCAGGTGAAAACACTCAAAGAAACCAAATCCTGCAAGGTTTGGATGGTGGGTCCAGGTGGGCGGGGCTTGGTGACTGCTTTGTTGTGACATCACAAAGTTGCAGAAGTCCTGACGGCTGGTTTTAAGGCTCAGTTTCTGAATACAGGCTGTGTGCATTTCTCTGTGGACTGAGGCTTTGATACTTTCACAGTATTAATATAGAAGCTAGAGCTGATCTATAATCACACTACACATGGACACAGACCTTTACACTGGAGGAGCTTTAAAGAACAGTCCAGTAAATAAATTTAAGTACTTTCCGTACATTTCAAAGCAGGACTTTTACTTGTAATGGAGTGTTTTTGTGTTGTGCTTGTACTTTTACTTCAGTAAAGGATCTGAACACTTTCTCCACCACTCTGTTTTTTCACTATCACTTCTTCAGGAAGTTGTTATTATTATTATAATTGGTTTATTGTATTTAACTTCCTCTGAGTCTGTCTTCAGTGTTCCCAGTAGTAACACAGTTTGTTTCCCTGTGATGGATCTTGTGTTTCCTCACAGTTTATTACAAACCTTACAGGAGTTTATTCCTCTGCCTGTCTCCCTCTCTTCCTGTCTTTCTTTCCCCGGTGCTCGCTCTCTCTCTCTCTCTCTCTCTCTCTCTCTCTCTCTCTCTCTCTCCCTCTCTCTGGCAGAGCTGCCACAGCCCCAAAACACAGGGGAATGAATTAAAGAGAAGCCAAATCACAGTAAATACCTGCCTCTCTCTGTCTCCCCACTCACCATGAGTCAGCCCACTCAGACTGGCAGAGTGCTGCCCTTGTTATTACCTCTTCACACACTTTAACACACACACACACACACACACACACAGAAGCGACAAAACTTGGCAAGGAGAAACGGAGTTGTAGCGAGACAGAAACCCAGAGCAAGGAAGAGCAGTGAAAAATGCTCCTTTATTTATGAAGCACTGCTCATTTTTTCAGGCACATTTTGAATTTGAACATTTAAAAACTCAATTGAAACGAGTTTAAAAAAAAATGAAATAAAAAACTGGCAAACCAGTAAAGAGAATATGTTCTCTAAATAAATAATGACATTATGACACCTGCTGCACTTCCTCTTCTTTATTTCCATCACCAGAATATCACTGTCACAAAAATAAAAATAGAGGCTGACATTTAATTTAAGGGCGAATACTAGGTCTGTCTTTTTGTGTATATTTGGTTTGAACTGTGGCGGGCATTAGCATCGTGGCGCCCGTTAGCATTAGCTAACCCTAACTCCTTAGCACAGCTCTATCTCATGCGGAAAGGCTAACCCAACGCTAGAGCTAAGAGCTTAGAGTTAACGGTACCACTTTAAAACAAGACTACCCTCATAAAGGATTTATAATTAGGTTATTAATCCGGTTAACGCTTTATAAATCATAAATAACCAATTATAAACATGTTATAACAGTTTTCATACATTAAGGCAGGCTCACTATTTAGCAAAATCACATTAATGCTCACCTATTAAGTGGTAAAAGGAGTGTTATTGTAAAGTGTAAAACTAATCATTTATTAATGAGTTACTGTGAGGCTGCTTTTACCAGTTATTGATAACAGTAACTTATTAATGAATGAATAAACGCTTTAACATTTGAATAAATATCGATATCATGTTCACAAGGCCAAAACCATAGTTTGTGAGGTCACCGTGATCTTGACCTTTGACCTTTGACCACCAAACTCTAATCATATCATCTTTGAGTCCAAGTGAATGTTTTTGTCAAATTTGAGGACGTTCCTTCAAGGCGTCACGGAGAAGTTGAGTCCACGAGAATGTGACGCACGGCTCTGGCTGACGCCGGGACGGAGGCGTAAAAATAAGTTGTGGAAAAGTTCTGGCTCTGACACGACCTCGTATCACCTGTGTGACACGCAACACGTGTGAGTGTGTGTGTGTGTGTGTGTGTGTGTGTGGGCGACATCAGCTCTGAGACAGATTCAATGTTTGATGTACAGTACAAACCGACACTCAGGAAACTCAGCTCCCCAGGCAGCGACACACTCCGTCCTCCGAGAGCCTCATCTGCACCGACATATGGACACACACACACACACACACACACACACACACACTCACTCATCACCTCTGCAGCTCCCCACAGCTGTTCTCCAACACATATCCACTCATTTTCACCCTTATTCATAATCTGCTCAGAGACTCACAGCAGAGCTCTGACATAATCCAGTGGGACCAACGTCTGTCACTGCAGCACGTCCAAATATTTCAAAAACCTTTATTGACACAGCGACGCTCTGCTGCACCGTTACCTGCAGGTGGAGTTTGTGGGATCTAAGAATTTACCCCCTGAAATCTGTGTTTGATTCAGATTTACTGCCCAAATCCTGAGGATTACCTCCATTTATGGAGAACAGGTAACGCATGCTTTACTGCCTGATCCACAATCAGCCAATCAGCAGACAGACCAGCCTCCTTGTTCACTTTCAGCTCTTTATTTCACGACCCAGAGGAGCGAAGAATCAGGGTGGAAAACCAAGGAACAGCACGTTCTTATTTTTTATTTTGCAGATTAGCAGCAGAGGAAGAAATATTCAGGTCTGGATTCAGAAATCCTTCACTAAGTCTGTGGGTAAAATCCTTTCTACGGTCTTATAGTAATAATAATAATAATAGTTTAAAACTTGATCTACCAGTAAATCCATGTTGTAAATCCATCCTACATGTTGCTATGGGACGCGAGCAATTCCAGAAAGGCATTGTGGGATTGCAGGTGATGTCCAGTTTGTTTTTGTTTTTTTCAACCCTCTGATACGACCCACAGGAGCGTTTCCTGAAATAGCGCCCCCTACGGCGGCAGGCATACTGGACCTCGGTTGTTATGGTTACATGTCATGTGATGACTGACAGTACGTCTTTTGTTATGGTCTTGATTGAGAGACCCCTGGTGGCAGGAGTTACGTACTGCAGGTTTAATCCACATGTTTCATGTTTTGTCAGATAAATGCTGCGGAGTCAAAACTACAATATTTCCCTCTGAAACTTTGATCAGCAGATGAATAACGTGTTTTAAATTCCCCCTCAAGCACAGAACCTGAGTAAATGTATTTTCCAGCTCTGCGGTTCAACCTCAGGAGACGGACTCGCGGTGGTCCGCTGAGACGAGGGGTCATGATGATCCACACCGACGTGAGCGGAGTGTAACGGCACAGGCGGCTTCATTGCCTCAACTGCCGGCGTGGTGAGCAGCTTGTAAGGAGGTCAGGAGCCAGACTCCGTCATGGCGTCCTGACTGCGTTCATCTACATGATCAGATGATCGTCTCAGAGAGAGAGAGGGACCACAGCAGGACTTAGACAGAGGGATGTTTTTCATCTGATGGTGCAACTCATTAAATCTGTGTTCGTGTCCTCGGGCTGCTAGTTACTGTGGTTACGGCCAGTCGGCTGATGTTCCTCCGTTGTAATCTAAGTTCATTGGCTTTGTTGTTGTCTGAACTGCAGGCGAAGAAGAAACAAGAAGAAACAATCTTTCATCTCGCAGTTAAAGGAGCAGTCCAACATTTTGTGAATGGTTAAATGTTTGCCTCAGAGCCTGAAGGGAAAATGGACGTGAGCTTCATCTCTGTGCGCTGTAGAGAGACGGGTCCAGGTCCTGTAGAGCTCAGCTCAGCACAAAGACAGGAAGCCCCGCCTCCTGCGCTCAGGTTACAGCCCTGTTCATCCACAGTCACATAAAATATCAAACATTTGTGTGAAATTTTATCATAATTGCTGTGAAGTCTTGCGTAATGGCTAAAAAGTTCTTTGTGAGGTCACACTGACCCTGACCTTTAACCTTTGACCACCCAAATCTATCAGTTTGTCCTTGA